ATTGTTCAAGTTGTGACAGGTTGTTGTTTGGTTTCCTTAAAACTTTTACAATAGGAATTTATAGAGGATTATAGAGGAGGAGTCAATAGTGGTGTTTAAGCTTTTATGTACTGTTTCGATTGTAGGAATAATTAACGTTCAAATAGCTATGAAAAAGATGGCTTTAAACTTTTATTATTTAAACTAAACTTAATTAAATTTAATTCAGTATATAAGTTAATAATTGATTAAATGACAGGCTCACCTAAGGTAGATAGAACGAGCTAAACAGTTATTATAAATTTGTGCTAATTTATAATGTCGATAAGCTGCATGATAAATTAATATAAACTCTGAAAATTACTTTTTTTGTTATTACTGTGCCTATAGTATTTGGGATTAAGTGTAAACATTATGAATGAGAGTGAATTAATGTTCTTATATAACTAATTTTACTATTATTATACCCTATAACTAATCTAAAAAACTAATCTACCTATAAATGTGATGCTAAGTTTTTTCCCAAAAATAAAGTAACAATACCTCTATTGAATTGTTATCTTGAAGTATATTATTAATTCTTCTATACAGAGACTATACTTAAATGCACTTATAATTTGTATATAGGTGAGACAAAATCTCTTGTAAGATTTGTATTTCGTGTTTTAAATCAATAAATTATATTGTATTGAATTCTTTTGAGTTCGAACTAGTTTTAGAATTAAAAATAAACATTATGGTTCAATTAATTAGAAAGAACAGTTTGTAGTTTGAACAAATGTTTCAACCCCTTAAATCTTTATTGTATCTTTGTTGTAGGATTATCTAAACTAAATGGTTTAGGGCTAATATAAACAATTTAAAAATAGTTTACCAAATAAAATGGTTAAAAAAATTAATCATAATAGTCTACAGATAAACATGTTTCAAAATTATTATAGTTCCTAGGATTTCTATTAAAAGTTAAAACTATTTCTGATTAAAAAGTCCCTTTCAAGTTTATACTAAAAACATTCTGCACCTGTTAAGTTAAAATTGAAATAACTCCAACATATAAAAATGTGAATGTATGTAGTCTATTCCATTTATTTTAGTTTGTTATTACCACATTCAGTTAAAGCAGTTTTATCCCTAAAAATCGTTTTCATCTTAAATAATTGTTTTAATATTTTTTATTTCTTTCAAACAATGACTTTTTCAAACAATATTTGCAATAAAGTCACATTACAATGCAAACCATTCTAAATCCATCTAATATTTTGGTTAGGGTGTATAATATTTGATGTCCCCATATTAGTGCTAAGGTAAACTTGTGCATCCAATTCATCAATTTTAGGAGCTATTCTATCCAGCTGAGTTTGCGGAGTCGTTTTACATATCCAATGTTATTCAACATTTTTGGGCACAGGTATAGTAAACCATTAATGATAAGTATTTAATGTTTTATATTGTTCTTTAATTATTTTATTTATAACTAAAATACTGGTCAATCAAATCGCAACTGCCTCTCATTAACTTCCTAACCTAAATTCCACCTAACTAAACCCATAAATATACATCAATTAGAGTATTTCCAAAGCAATAACACATAAAATAAAATACTAAGGTAACATGTTAAACTACTAGATCGTCACTTTACATATTTTAGCATTACTAATATAATGAAAAAAAACAAATCCATAAGGGTGTATTAAAACATTTCATTTCTTAAGTATTGTTTTTATACTGTAGACCTAAATGTTTTAAATTTTTACAACTCTTTGACTACAAAATATGGGAGTAAAAAATTGATTTATTTCTCTGCAATTTGAAGCCATAAACATAACATAATTATAATGTTATTATATTTCCATTAAAAACAATTAATAATTTGTAGTTAAGCTCAAAACATTGGTAAGGACTACAAATTAGAAATGTACTGATTGAGCTATTAACTTCCTCATTGAGATTACTAATTGTGTGGTCAATTAAGCACTAATTGAAATGGTGCATACAAACTCTTAGCATAAATTTCAGATCAGTTCAAAGATATTTATTCAAATAAGAGTTTTATACAAATCCATGTTCAACCATGCGTCACAAACATGCAACAGTGTTTCCATGCACAGGGTTTTGGGATTTTTATCAGGGAAACAGGATTTTTAGACTTTGCGCGGGATTAAAAACGGATTAGCAAATTCCCTACATAGGCTATTTACCTTAGGTGGTACGGTAAGACATAGACCCAGGACCGATTTTTCGCTTTGATGTCCCCAGAGGACAAACCCACCATTTGTCTAAAATGTTATGAATGTTTGTCTGCATCCGTAAACATGATAACTCCAGTAATTTTGGTCCGATTTTGATGAAATTTGGCATGAATGTGTAGGGCTGGATGAACTAGAATGAGATTGTGAAACTGTCACGTCTTGTAATGTCGGTAATCAGAACGGAGATTAATAGAATTTTGACGTTTTTCAAAAATATTTTTTTTTTTTTTATTTTTATCCTTAAAACATAAAAATGTCCAATTTATATTACACCCATCGTGTAGGGTTAAAAAACAATTACTTTTTATATTGAAGCATTGTTGTGTGTTGAAAAGTTATAGATACAATTTCTAAACACTAACAAAATTCTTATGTAATTCTTATGAAGAAAAAAGAAACCGTTTTAATTTGTTTGTTTACGGATGTATTTGATCAAATTCGGAAATAAATTAATTTTCATACTATACTATAGACATTATACAAAAAAATTACTTTATCCTTCGCTGTAGCAGCAAACCTAAATACTCATTTATGTTATTTAACCGCAATTTACTACATTATTTAAGTCCTGTACAACAACAAGGTTTTAATAACAATTTAAACATGATACATCAAAAATATCACTCGGGATGGAACAAGATTTTTCATAAAGTTAAGGCAGGATTAAATGAGATTTACTTGACCCGGTAAGTAGGATTTTTTCGTCGTTTGGAAACACTGCTTGTATGAAATTGATACTTTTGAAGTAATAACAATCGTAGGAGTGAATAAATAGATAAAAGTATTGATATTTTTAAAATTCCATTTCCGAGTCACTACATCATAAGTAAATCTTTAGTTCTCCTTCATTTTTCAGCCAAAGAGTTTAAAAAATTTCTAATTTAATCAGTTTTTTTTTATTTCTTACTTTTGTTGTAATTTAAAATGAAAAAAATAATAAAATCAAATTGGAAACACACATTTAATTTTTTTTACACTACAGTTGGTTTTACGTTTCTATGAGGCTACAGTTGGTTTAACATTCCTTGGAGGCTAGGTTGGTTCGGTTGTCTGTTGCAGGTGTTACAATTCTCCTGTCCCAGACTGTTTTTCTCCTTCGCTTGGCGCAAGTCCTGCCTCAAACCTCTGATGCTCTCCCCATCTTAGGTACAAACATGTACTAAAGTATTACGCAAAGTTTTGGGTCACTACAAAACATATAACTCTGTTTAACACATAAAATTACCCAGTCATTTCAGGGCTTTCAAGAAGTGGGGGTTGGTCTAAAATTGGTTAACTTTATTTTTGCAGGAAATTAAACGATTAATAAATAAGTGTGATTTTATGCTTAAATTTATCATTTTATCGTTGAACTTGACCAATATCTGAGTATCACCTCTAGCATAATTGTAACACTTCCGTTGTTTTAAAAGGACTTTAAAGCAAAACAGGGTAAATATTTTTTCTGGACAGTACTTGATTTAAGACAAAAAAATAGTATAGTATAACTCTCTGGAAAACTGGATTTATAATAGAAAGATCAAGAAGTTACCCACAAGCAATTTTACTCAGTGTAATTATAATTCTGTTTAGTTCAAAATACATATTGCTATTTCATTATAAAATAAAATCCATATTCAACCTTGAAGTACACACTGACAAGTACAGAAATTTAAAAAATAATTGAAATTAGCTTCAGTGTATAGACTAAATGGATAAACACAATTAAATTTAAACATGTCTGATTTTTTTAAATGATATTAGTGTAATAGCATTATAATGGTCTATTTAGAAAATGCTCTATGCAGTAAAGGTGAAGAATTGTGAAATTTGCATATTTATTTATATTATTCAACAACTTTTGTGACAGTTAAATTAAGCTCTTTTGTAATACACATTCTTAGTTTTGAAAAGGTGTTAATTATCTGTATTCTAAGTGAAGAGTTTGAAAATTAATTATCTTCCACAAGCTAAAAATTGTAAATACACTCTCACACTCACTACAGGGGTGACCCAAAACTTTGAAATTTATTGTTTTTGAAAAGTGCATGGTGTTGAAAAACACTGAAATTTAATACTTTTTGATTATAAACTATTACAGGAGATTCTTCAGCTAATAAAGATATAAATTTCAAAACATGAGAAGTGCACAGTTTGCGACCTGCATGGCTAACCTCCCTCCTTAAATCAGCTGATACCGCTATCAGCTGGAGGCCAGCTGATTTTAAACAGCTGATAACTAAAGAGGTGTGTGAATTGTCCACCTTAGAAAAGGTGGAAACTTTATTTTTTTATGTAATACCCTAGTAGATTACACAAGAGGAGAAAGAATTTGAGAACTGGGTTGGTTTGGGTATAGATATTGGAAAATTAAACTTGGGTTTCATTTATTTGTCTTATCAGATTTTGAATTTATTTAGAGAAAATTTCATTGACATGCGATAAAGGTCTAGTCCAGCACAGTCATTTGTTCATATTAACATATACAGTGTGTAAATTAAGTCTTGAAACAAATCTGTATTATTAAAACCAAAATAGATAGAAATATTCTGTTTGTAGCATTGATTCTTAACAAAGGTTCCGCAATTTTTTACACAAAAAAGTTGTTTAACCCCCCTATCGGGGTAGGTGGTAGGGGTTGACTTATTTTTTTCAAATATCAACCCCTATTGAGTGACCCCTCATTTTTAAGAGCTTGTCAAAAGAAACACAATGACACAAACCCGAGGTGAATATCTCACCCCTAGCAAAAATAACAGGTATTCCAAAATGGTGCTTTTTCACATAAATCAAATTTTGGAACACCCTCCATTTAGGCTAGGGATGAAATATCTACCTCGGTGTTGCGTCATTGTATTTTTTTTTTTTTTTGACAAACCCTTTAAAATTAGGGGTCACTCAATAGTGGTTGTTATTAAAAAAAATAATTCACCCTCACCCCTTACCCTGTTAAAGGGGTTAAAAAATATTGTTGATGTAAAAATTGCGGAACCTATGTTAACAATCAATTCTACAAACAGAAAATTTCTATCTATTTCAGTTTTAAAAATACAGATTCGTTTCCATATTTGTGAAATTGGTGCTTTTTCACATACAGTAAATCAAATTTTGGAATACTTGTCATTTTGGCTAGGGGTGGAAGCCGATGTCCCACGACGCGTTGCGCGGCGCTCCACGCGACGGTGAAAATGCGCGGGCTGGAGCGTCTGTGCGCGTTTAGGTCCACGCAAGACCTGTCCCACGGCGCGCGTCTAGAGGCCGTAGTGGATAGTGTTAAAACCTCATAGAGACCTCCGTGCTACACTGTATTTGTAAAGATATGTGTGATTTAATGATGAGTGATTTGGAAAGTGACGGTGAATTAGCGTGCGCCGCAGCTTGTTATCTATTGTTGAGTGGTGAATATTTGAAGTTAAAATTGTATTCAAAGAAAAAAGAGAGGCGTTGGTGGATGGATGCATACAACAAAAGTTTCGCACCAACAATTGCTGAATAACTGCAAGTTCAACGTGACACCTGTTCACCCGGTGGAAAAACGTCTCGTACTGGCCCAGGGTGTCCACGCTCCAACCCGCGTCTTTGATGTTTACCGACAACTTACGGGAACGGACGCGCAACCCCACTCCGCGCCACTCTGGCGCGTAGAACCACGCGCTTACCCTGGCGCGAGGTTTGGCACGCCTCGCGCCGTGAGCGCCGCGCAACGCTCCGTGGGACATAGGCTTGAGATATCCACCTCGGGTTTGTGTCATTGTGTTTCTTTTGACAAATTCTTCAAAATGAGGGGTCACTCAATAGGGGTCGCTATTTGAAAAAAAATAAGTCACCCCCTACCCCCTACAGGGCGGTTTAAAAATATTTTTTAGCCTATGTAAAAAATTACGGAACCTTTGTTAACAATCAACGCCACAAACAGAATATTTCTATCTATTTCAGATAAAAAAATACAGATTTGTTTCAAGACTTCATTTTCACACTGTATATTTGTTACAAAAGAAAACTGCACTTAATTTATTTGTGGAATGAAAAATGTCTTCATCATCAAATATTCACAATGTAAAAAACGTTGGGCTAGAATCCTATATGGAGTGTCCAAAATATTTCATACAACTGTAGATACCAACTAATTGGAATGGATTGAATCACAAAAAAAATGAAATCCACACTATTGAGATGGGAGTCAAATTACAATTCAGGCACCTCATACTAATCATGCAATAAGGTCAACTATTTAAAGAATGTCTTTAACATAAGTGAAGTTTATTATTTTACTTTGCTTTTACTTGTATTATTGTTTTCATATATCAAAAGTCATTTTGTTACAGTTTGTACATAATTAAAAAAAAAACACTCATGGTCTAACATTATTTTCAAAAAAAACAAAATAAATGAATAACAATAACTACAATATTACAGATGTTTAGGGTTCTCCAACAATTTAGAGCACGATTAGGAATTACAAGATAGACTAGAATCACTCCAACACTACTTTATAATGGGAGGTCATTCAATACTAAACATTTGCAGACAACAAATGCAATAGTTTATTTTTTAGTGTAAACTGTTTTTTACAGTTAAATTATATTTTGAGATGGTATATTTCATTACTAAGGCCTTAAGTTACCCTTTTGCCAAGAGCAGAAGCTCAATAAAAACAAGCTATGATCAAAAAGAAACTTTTGACCCTTGTAATGAACTAAAATTTTCATTATGCTCCACCAATCATTGATCTTACTAATTCACATAAAAACTAAAATTGTTTACCCCTAATAAAGGCTAGCTACATACTTAAAAGAAAACATAAAATTTTTAAGTTGAGGGTTTTTTAGCTCTGGATAGTATTTAATGAACATATCTTACTGAATGTAGGAGCAATGATAGAGACGTAGATGTGAGGGTTTCAGTTTTTTTACTAGTGATAAAATAATTCAACAAATATCTTGATTATACGCGTCCAAAGTGTGTTTGGCTGTGTTTCCTATTAAAGAACTTTAGCGAATATTCATTTTATAATCATTAATATTTTAATATTTTTTCATAATATTTCATAAGATATTTAACTGTATGAACTATATTTTAACTTGCCAATGACCCTCCCATTTTAGATACACGTGAGTGTGATTAACACTTAGATAAACCAAAGCACATAGATACATTTAACATTAGTTACAAATACAATAATGCAGTTAAATACTTTTTAAACTTCTAATTTTAATAAAACCAATTTTTTATTTCATTCCATATTGACTTAAGGTTTGAACTATCTAAGCAGTGTTAGTTTATTGGAATATTTCTTTGTTTAGTGCCTCCTCTATCCTTTATTCCTCTTTTGCCATAGCACTTTTCTACATGCACTTCTCTTACTGCCCTGAGAATATTTCACAGTTATCCAAGTATAATCAAACAATTGTACACATTTCATTTGATGCAATCACACTTATTTCCAAACGATGAATTTGTTCGAGACTATAATTTCTTGTGATATTTGAACATAACTGTGAAGTGTTTCCAGGACCTCTACAACCACTAACTTTCCTTCTTACTCTGAGATTTAATTTGCAGGACCTCTTCAAAAGGTGAGATGATGCTTTTTTTCTTTAAACTTATCTTTGGCTACTTATAAATGACACGAGTAAACTATGTCACTCTAAATTCGACCCGTACATAACTAAAGCAACTCTAACCGAGTGGTGAAGCCTCACCTCCAAGTATCAACTGCCCTGAGTGTTGTGCGAAATGTTCTTGTGTGCTCTGTGTCTTCGAATGTGCCTCCTTACTCCATGGCTAACCCCCGAACATAAACAGCATGCACTAAACAGTGACTAAATAATCCGCAACAGATAAACATGATCAAAGTGTAATTTTCTGAACAGGCTTTTGCTGACTAAAACCACTTTAAACGAGGAAAACCTGGAGTAAACTGGTAAGACAAGGTAAATAAAAAGTTCGTAAATAATTTACTTTTTAATATTTGGAACCTATTTTAAACCGACACGTTAAATAACAAAGATAATACTCTTCCGAACTTTTTTTCACTTGTTCTGCTATACTTCACCTGCTTGTGATTTGTTCTTGTATTTTGCCGACCAGTTTAATGATAATCGCCTAAAAAATGTCAATAAAACTACTTCTAACCGCCAAATATCATCTTTTAATTAATAAGCGAATAAAGTTAAACTTTAAACAGTTTTAAACAGAGTTTAACAGTCAGGGGAGGAGGTTTAAGATGTAATGTATCAATGTTGCTTGAGTTTTAGTTTATTGTGTTTGGTTACGGAAATTTAATGGTGTTATATTTGTTATTTACAAGGCCATAATTTTGGTGTTGTAGTACTAGAAGACACAGCATGGTTAGATATAATTTTATTTGTGTTTTGTACACTTTGTTCACTAATTTGTTATCACTATAGTTGGTATTTTACAAGTTTAAAAGGGAATCTTATATAACAATAATGATGGTTCTAAAGAAACCCAACTTTAAATTTTTGAAAAATGGATTGCTTATGTTAGTAGAATATTTTCCATGGCAATGTGTACTCAGTTTGATGGATGATTCATTTTTTTTAAGGAATTGTAAGATACAAATACTCATCTTACAAGATACATAAAACATTTACCAAACATCTAAACGCTCAACTCTGTAATACAAACATGAAAATACCAACCATGGGGATAAGCATGATATCTTTAACATATACATTTTAAGTGTTTTTACGCACAGTAAAGTGAACAATTTTACATTTATACATTTAATTAAATGTAAATTACTTCAGCCAACAATGCTTAGACACATATTTGTCAATGCATTGTCACAATGCCAGTACTTGTGTTTACTTTAGTGCAAAAATATATAGATAGTAAAATATATATATATACCATATATATAGAAATAGATTAACACTATTGTAGCTCACTATGGAGTGTGCACTATAAGTAGGTTAGGTGCAGTCGGTAAGTAGCTACGTAGTTGGGGAACAATGAATTAACGACATTACCTATTTTTATCACACCATAACAGAGATTTTCAACGCCTTTTTATTTTTAAATATAAATACCCATGCTGATTTTGGTCAAAAAAGAAAATGGATCAAATTTTGTATTGGAATGATAAATAATTTTAATTTATTTGCCTAATTCATGATTGATATTAAAAGTATTCGCATTCTTAATACCATATTACTGTATGCCCATGATGTTGTGTTTGTTGATCTTTATACATAGCATTGTCAAATATATTTTTGGTAAGAACCATATTTGGAAAGTATACAATCGTAAGGTACATGACATGCGTAGTTTTACTTATTGTTCTTATGTTCTCTCAAGCTGATAGGCCTATTTCTAATTTACAGAGCTGGATGATTGTTTAATAATTTACATGTGACATTTTGTACAACATAATTAATTGTAGCTTTCTGTAAATTTTTTGTCAAATCTTTTATTTACTTTTTCCTTGTTTTTGTTGTTAGTAAGTTTCATTTAAGAAAATCTATATTCTAAAACATAAATGCATAAATAAAATGCATAAATGGTAATGCATGGTAATGCATAAATGGAATATGATATCTGCAGACCAAATTGTAAAACATGTTTGAACTACTTTCAATAAAATCATTTCAGTTTCACAGTTCTTTACTTCATAAAAAAGCCAAATTAGCTACCTATTCCCAAAATCTAAAAATATATTACAGTATAACCAAATAGTTTCACTAGATTATCTAAACGGATCTTGTCACAAATCTTGATAATTTTTTTATTCGGTACATCTTGTAAATCAATTAATGTTGAATTCAATGTGTACTTTAGTTAATGCTCCTTGTGATCCCCATGCAGGCACCTACTTCAACTGCATTATGTTCATGGTGGCGTCATCGGTCGTCCTGACAGTTGTTGTGCTCAACTACCACCATCGGACTGCCGACATCCACGAGATGCCTCCATGGGTAAGACTCGATCAAACGATTGATTATACCATAGACACAACAATGCTTCGATATACTAAATTATTTCTTTTTTAAGCTCTACAAAACGGTTTAAAAAGAAATTGAAATTTTTTTGTTTTTAGGGTCATAAAACACCCCATAAACCCCCGTTCCCTTGGTCCAATTATGCTGGTTCGCGAACTCGTTCGAATAGGTTTACACGTTTGTACCAAATTTCATCGAAATCGGATCATTTTTGCTCAAGTTATCACACTAACAGACACATATATATACAGTAGAGTCCCGCAAATTTGGCGTAATGTGGACTGGAAGGTTGCCGAGTTTGTGAAATGCCAGGTTATTGGGAACTAGAGTTAAAAACAAGAACAATACAATTTTTAAGCTTTTTAACGCCTTTTTTTAATTAGATTTATATTTCAAGTTATAGTTCAAGTGATCAGATATAGGTAAATCCTTAGTACGAGTTGCAAATGATTATACTTGAGCTGGCTTGTGTCCATGTTAACTCGGACTCAAAAAAATCACTAATTTTCTGAGCCAGCTGATGGCCGAGTTATCCAGACTGCCGGGTTATCGAGTGTCGAGTTTGCGGGACTCTACTGTATATGAATTTGAACGGATGGTGTTTTTGGCCTCTAGGGACGTCAAAACTAAAAATTAAATCGGTCCCGGGTCCAGGTCTTACCATGAGTTCTACGGTAATAGCTTATTCCCTATATGGGAAATTTGCTAAAACTGACAACATGTTTAAATTTTATTTATTATTTATCTATTAATTATTTATGTAGATCATAGAGAACAATACAAGTGTTCTTTGTCTGAAGTTCATTGTATTAAATAATAAATTTATTGTTGTTAAATGATTCTGACAAATAATGTGGGATTATTGGGCTTGAAAGTGGTCCTCTCAGGGCCGGATTTCCCTATAGGCCCGGTAGGCCCGGGCCTATGGGCGCGAGCTCCCAGAGGGCGCAAGGCCGAGAGGATTTTTTTTATATCTAAAAATAAAAATAAATAGTCATAGTTGATAAAAAAAACCCTGGCTAGTAAAGCATTCTGATTCTGAAGTTAAAAGGTAGAAATAATTGTTAGAAAATGTAAACTATTTTTCAGAATTACGCATCAATTTCGTTACAACATTGGTAACAAACATTGGTTATACGGGAGTAGGCTGTAGGATGTTGACGAGCGCCCGATCGGTACGCATCGTATTGCCACTGCACTGCCACTCATCAATATATAACTACTGCTGCCACTATGCTCATGCTGGCTCGGGCTCGGTACTACTCTACTACTGATCAGAGTGATTAGAGGCGCATGCGTAGCGTGCTAGACATTGTTACCACCCTCACTCACAAAACAAAAGTTATTAACTAATCTTTTGATTAATTTACAACAATCTGCAGTTAAAATATATAATACGTTGTGTTGAATATTTAAAAATGATGAATTTATCTTTAAAATTAACAAAAAATATTAATCTCAGTTTGCAATAGGTTTTAGAAAAATGCAATACCCTCCAAAGCACCATTAATGCTGTCATTTTCTCCTCAGACCTAAGGATCGGTATGGTTGGCCGGAATGTTGCTCTGTTTTGCTTTGGAAATATAACCTAGATGCAGTACGACCATAGATTAAATGTAACCACATAACTCAAGTCAACTTCTTATCACATTGTTAGTTCAAATTTTTTACGTCTAGTTCATGTTGGTGACACTGGACGTTGGTTTTGACTTACTTTTGATTCTATAATTTTAGGGTTAGTTCTATGATGTGTGTTTTAATTTATTGTAATATAACCAGGAGACGACCTATGGTCATAATGCTATGGTTTATGATTAAATAGTTTTTTTTATAAAATAGGTTTAAATAACAATAATTGTTTTCAGCTAATCCATAATGATGACAAATCTACTAAAGGAGTATGTTTAATCTATGGTACACGTACTGTATGGAGTTCATGTTTTTGGGCCTAAAATTGGAATCAATGGCCATGATTTTTTGCAGGAATGATCGGAGGGTTGAGTTGTTTTGTTTCAGTCCCATAAACTTGAGCATCAGCATTTACTAAAAGCACAAATTGCTAAAAAAAAAAGTGTTTAAGACGCCATATTGTTAAGGCTAAACAAGTCAATTCTTCAAATACAGTAACTTGCAATGATAAAATTCTGACGAGTGGTATTCAAGCAATTATCTTAGGCCTAGGGACACGATATAGTTTTAAATAAAGATTTGAAGGAAATTAACTGTGACCAGACTAGGGGGCGGAAAATCATTTGGGCCCAGGGGCGCCAAAATGCTAAATCCGGCCCTGGGTCCTCTTGTCAAAAGTTGGTACAACCCTGTGGCTAAACAACAGGACTGACAAAAGTGAATATTTGCAATTTTATCTTATAGATTAAGCTTCAATTGTTGTTTCATCCCGAAAATACAAAATTTTCTAATAAACTTGTCACCTTGAAATTAAAAAGAAAAATAATTAGACAATTTTAGTTTGTTAAAATGTATCATTTTTGAGGGTATATTTGTTATAATTTTCTAAGTTAGTATCTTGTTTCTGTTGACCTGTTGAGTTATAACTTTATTGTAATTGAGTGGGAAGTTACACAATTCCACTCTATAGTTTTAAGAAAGTAGCCCTGTCACAAAATTCATAGACACATTGTTTCCAGATAAAAAGCGTGTTCCTCCAATGGCTTCCATGGATTTTGGGCATGGGACGACCGGGGAAGAAGATCACGAGGAAAACGATTATGATGAGTAATCGAATGAAAGAGTTGGAGCTCAAGGAGAGATCGTCTAAGAGTCTGTTGGCCAATGTGCTTGACATCGACGACGACTTCCGCCACTGTAGTTCAGCCAATAGCGGGTACATGCGCGGCACGCCGGGGCTTACTATAGACGAGGCACCGTGCTCCTGGGGGCAGCGTGACCTACAGCTCATACTGCGCGAACTACAGTTCATCACTAACAGAATGAAGAAGGCGGATGAGGAAGCAGAACTGATAAGTGACTGGAAGTTCGCCGCTATGGTGGTGGACAGGTTTTGTTTGATAGTGTTTACACTGTTTACGGTGATAGCCACGGTGGCTGTTTTGTTGTCAGCGCCCCACATCATCGTACAGTAACGACGGAACTACGCCCCAAGTGCTACGACTTCAACACCCTCGACCGAGTGTTTGGTTACTGTACTGACATATCTCCATTACCCTTATGTCAGACATCCGACAATACTCGACATAACCCACGTTGTTAAACAGTCACTTAAGCGCAACAACTAATACAGGTAAATTAAGGAGTCATTGAGGTTTTGTAGAATATGTCTAAAACTAACCGTGACTAGTTTGTATGTTTTTATAAACGATCGAATTTATCGACACTCTTAAATGAGACCAACTAATACAATCATTTTTAATACAAATAGCTAAACTGAAATGAATCGCTGTAACATTGACATATTTTCATACGTCGTAAAACTATTCGGTTCGGTTTCTAAGCACAATGTATTTAAAAATAAGTGAATTCTGTTTAAATAAGCTGGTACTGAATCAGCGTTAAATCGTTCTTGGGGAAAGTATACTTTTTCTATGTTGATAAAAGAAGTACTCATGGATATTGAATAGGGCTCATGTTTTCAATAAAAATAAAAAAATTTATTGATTGTCTTTATCAAAAAAGTTAAATAGTTTTATTTTACTTTTTCAGCTACAAAAAAAATACTTACAAATAAATTGAGAAATATTCTTCATAGCTCATCAACCGGCCAATTGGATTACATTTCTTGAAAAAATTACATATAAACTCACAATCATTTCAATCACATAAATTTTAATATTGCAATATAGTTAGGTCAAATGTTTATTCAAAAAAAACATGTTATCCATAAAATAGCTATTTTAACAGCAACACAGAATATAAAAATAGAAAAACTATACTGTCTCAAGGATTGCCTTAATAAAATAAATTTAACCTAAATCCTTAGTTTCCTAAATAAATAATAATATATGTATCAAACTATCACCAGACTCAATTATGTTATCGACAAGGAAACCTCGTACTTAGCTGTAATACATTCTGTGGAACTCAACTTGACAGTGACTTCTGGATGTAGTGAAGTGAGTCAAGAACATATTAAAAGTTTAGTGATTTCTGTGATATGTTTAATAAAAACTCTAAATAAATAATGAGCTGATTGTTAATGATAAAGCTAAATAGCAAATTATGTTGTTTTTATAAAATGAGACCAATATAATAAAAGATACTAAGCACAAAATTAATGTAATTAATTTTGTGCGTTTTGTTGAATAAGTGGTAAGATTTTAAAGATTGTGTACAATAAAAACAATTATAAACATGTTAATTTGTTATAGGTGAGTTTTTACAATAATTTTCATTTTAGTGGGTTATTCAGGAGGCTGCCCTCAGATTTTAAATTCAATTACAAATCATTTAATGTCATAATAAAACCATTTGAATCAGGAAGAGCTATTTAGAATGCTGTACATATATCATCATACTTTTGTTTAGTATAAAAACGAATATCACAAAAGAGCTTGGTAAAATGTTAAGTATATGTTTTTTACAATAAGTTGGATTGTGTGTTTACAATTTGGTGCAATAGGGTACTTTTAAAATACGATCCAGGGTAAACATGTACTCTAAACCCTCAGTAATAAAAGATACAATGAAAAACCATTGCTCACAAAACGAACTTAGTATATATATGTAGCGAAACAAAAAAGTTGTCACACTTATGTTTAGTAATAGTGTTGTAAATAAATCTAAAAGTGAACACATTGCCGACCCAACCAGCTACAAAACACTGCTTTTGAGGGCAGGCTTCCACGTTTGATTTAGAGAATTGTGAATGAATAACTTATGTATCCGTGTTTAACCTTCCTTTCTTTGTCAGACAAATAATAGATTCAAACTAAAAGGAATTGAGATGAGAGTTTTTTAACATCGCAAAGTTATGTGTGATTTTTTAATAAATACTTTAGATATGTCAATGTTGTTAGTCTGGAGGTATTGGTGTGACCGTGAGTCATGTACGTTTCATTGTACAGTTAACAATCCTCCTTTGGTTCATGTTTAATTGTTATCAGTTCAACTGCTGACGTTTGTACTGTTATCAGTGGTTCTGTGTTTTCAAACTTTTATTTTACTGTGGTTGTTTTATAAAACTAGTTGGTTTGGGATAGTCGCTACATAGATTGATAACTTGAAGTCTCTTTAGCATGTTATCGTACTAATTTTACATTGAGAAAAGTTACCATTGTCATTTACAACAATACAAAGAATCTATCTGAGAGTTCTTCATCCATCCAAGTTATATGAGACAACCACAGCAGCGATCCGTCTGACCCGACAGATTCAGACTAGTGTGCCTGAACGGCATTGCTCACTCTTGCAAGTTTACAAGTGTATGTATCGCCTGTAGAACTACACGACTATGTTATTACAAATATACTGTTATGTTTTGGCAAGTTGCGTTTGCGTTACTTGAGTTGGTCCTTCACAACAGACAACAACGGAGCAAACAATAACCAAACGGGTCCGTAGTTAGTGATAACTATGATATCTATGTTTAGATGTGCTATGATACGTAATTTGTTGCTCATATCATAACTAATCTGGCTCTGGTTCAGTAAAGGCCTTAAAAATACATGTTAATTACTACTATAAGATGTTTGTCAGACACTGTAAACTATTTTTAAATAAATTATATAAAAAAAACATTACTAAACCGTTTATTAAACATAGGCGATGCTGTAGTTTTCAACCGCACGTGTGTACAATATTTTTAATACTGTACCGAGGAGTGAGTACTGTACTTTTTACAACTGTGTATTAGTGATAGTGTTTTTACATAAATTACAATTTAACTTGCAACGTTATGTTGATTAATAAACAATGTTAAATAAAATGTTGGGAAAAATGTTTGCGACATCTCCTTTTTTCTGGATTTTCTTTGAAGACATATTACCGGTGATAACCGGTTTGTCTTGATTTTGAATTGACTCCAAAATGAATATGATTGAATCAGAGATATCAACAGTTACTTTTGAGGCCTAGACCTAGGGTTCTTATTCAAAAGATGTTTTAAAACATAAAAAGAATATGAAATGTAAAGAACTTTGTTAGTTGCATCATAATCTTTGTTTGGAATTAAATTGTGAGTCAATTATATAACAAATAAAATTTATAAAAATGTAATATTAAGATCTGTTTTATGATCATTTTTTAACAGTCTATTTCACTAGCATTACAATTTCCCTACTATATCTCATGGCTAAACAACAAATTTAAAGCTCTAAATGAGCTAAACCAACTGGACTAAACGTAAGATCTTAAAGAAATACAATTACTTATTATTTATATTAAAATATCAATAAATGTTAAAGTGGTGTGGACCTCATTATTTGTTTTAAAATAGAATGTCTGAAAATTAAATATATAAGGATCCTTAATTACTGAGAATTCTCAATTATCATTGTCTATTAATTACCGTTAGTTTTCATAACTACATGTTGAGAAAAGATATATCACCTTAGCAATCTGCTTATTTAGCAAGCTCGGAGATATTATTGGTTTGTACTTTGATGTAAGATCATGATCAACGTTCCTAATATATATATATATATTGTATATAAATAATACAGCCAGCTGACTGCCAAGGTATATGAAGTATAACAGGTGGGCCAGACTGAGTGGGCTGGAACTGATGACATCACTGCGTACCCGGTGGCACGGCGGCCGCCTCGCCACATTGTTCAGACATGTGGCTCATTCTGTGTTACTCATTTCAACAGGATTTAAGCTGGCTAGGTTGAATAACAATTTATATTTAGCTAAAATGAGTAAGTTAGGTCTTGTGTGTATATATATAAATATGTTGATTAGGAGTTTTGCTTATAGTATTAGATGTTTTATTTTCTTTAAAAATTTAGAGCTACACAATGAATCTACACAATTGAATGTTACAAGTGAAACAATATTTTACTGAATCTCTAAAAAACATCAACAATTGACAATTACAGATAAAATGTCCTGGTCTAAACTAATGGATGTTCAAATTCTCTGTTAACTTACTTTAACAATTTCAATAGTGCTACATTTTTATCTAACTAATTTACATTAAGAATTCAAAATATGCAAACATGAAATATACTTAGGTTTTGTAAAAGTATATTCATCATAAAATCATAAGTCTAATCATCCACAGAAATGGATTGGATCATAGCCTGCTCTAATACGTTGATCTAATACCTGCTGCCGAGGCCTTGATGTGTGGCAACGACGCACCAGCAGACCTATTGCCTTGGTAACAACAGTAATGACAAACGTGTAAACATAACCAACAGGCAGATGCTCCATTATAAATTGGTGCAACAGCTGTTTGTGTAGGCTGGGTCAGCGGCGTACCACAAAATTGCTGCGGGAAGCACAAAATTGTACATACTGTAGATGAAATGTTATATTTATTTCATTTTGGTAAAGTGGGGTCCAGAGAAAAAGGTGGTGGTCCAAAGTAAAAGGAACTTAGGCATCTTCATCGGGGTAGCCAGGATAGTTGACGCAAAGTGATGTTCTATCTTGTGTTTTCTTTTCACCACATAATAATGCTACGGTTGTAGCAAAAAATGTTGTGAACAAAAGGAACTATCGAGACGAGATAAATAGCCTACCGTACATTAATCAAATAATTGAACTTGGAGCCAGGTATGAATAAATCACATCAGTGTTGCATGTACATTTATTACACCGAATTCAGAGAAAATGTGAAATAAAAAATTTATAGAAAACTAAAACAAAAGTTACTGTACAGGATCAGTCAAATACTTACACTCGGATGGAAAACTTTATGTTCAAGCAGACTGAAGTCTCTGGTTCAAAGGGTTTTCCGGAGATTTCATCCACTCTTTGCGCAGAATCTGTTTGAGCTGAGACAGACGCAGAGTAGGATTCTCCTGTTTTATCCTCGGCATGTTGACCTCCTCGAATGCTGTGAAGGCCGCCTTCATCCGTTTTTCCGGATGTTTATCCACATCCACGTCTTTTGAGCTGTAAACATTGAATATTGTCAATATTAAATAAATGTTGTACAGATATGAATACAGTATATTATAAAAATCATGGGTGCCTACAGAAATTTTCTTTAAGGGAGGGGGGGACAATCATGGGCATCCATCTGACTTTTCTATGGGGGGGGGGGGCCGGGGGTTGTGGTGCGGGATGAACCTCAGTAAAAAGGGTAGTCTTAAGAGTACTTGAGAACAATTATTAAAATTTTGATTTAAAATTTTTGCTTTCACACTTATCTTCTTATACACTAAAAAAACTTTTGCAAAACTTACGACAGCTAGTCTGACCATACTGGACCGAATACACGCGTTTGGTACCAAATGAAAGATATTTTCCTGTAGATATGCAGAATCCCTTTATAAATTAAAATAGGCTTAAAAATAAGCACAAAAACTAATTTAAAATTAAAAAAATTAACATGGGCCTTATGGGTTGCCATGTTGGTAACGAAATGACAGGCACGGCCCTAGGGACTTTGCCGCCCTGGGCGAGATCGGCGACTGCTGCCCCCCGGGGGGTCGTAGTAAGGGGGGTCCGGGAAAATTTTAGAAAAATAACTTCTCTAAACACTATTTTTAAGCGTTTAGGAAGTGAAATCTGGTGTTAATACTTAATACAGTTTTATGCAATTTTGTAACACTTTAACACTGAATATTTTAATTAATATGTTAATGGGACTTGGCCTATTAAAAAATTATTTCAAAGGCGAGTAATAAAATCACTTTACTTCGTTGTTCCATTGCCACACCAGCTAACGCCATCAAATCTTTCTTTTCGGGGCGAAAAACCCGATCAGTTTACTTTGTTTCGACATAAAATAACACTCATGAGACACCACGGAATACGAAAATCATAAAAACAAACTGGCACAATAATTAACACCAGACGACAGATCAAGCGTAGTGTGGATGACAGGGTAGAGGAGGAGGGTGTCGATGGGCGGTTGAACGCGGAACGTCCTGTGACTCACGTCTGTTTGGCTCGCAAATATCCAACCCCACCACTGCTACCGGCTACCGGCATGTAGTTTATCTGTTACCATTTATTCATCGACAATGAAAGTATACCTACAAACAAACAAGCTTAGTACAATAGGCATGACATTTAATTAACTATTTTATTGCTCACGTTAAAACGATTAATTTCAGGTAGGTGTAAAAGGTGAAGTGGTGGTGGTAGGGGGAGGGGCGGATAGGCTAAGGCTGTTGACCTTCCGTGACTTGTGTCTGTACTCTGTTTTGCGCGCAAAAACCATACTACTTTCACTGGCATTGCAGTTTATTTACGATTTATTGATATTGAAAGTATACTTTTGAAAAACAAGCTTAATACAATAATAGAAGTAAAATTAAAAAGGTTCACTATTTCATTGCATACGTTAAAACATTATTTTTTAAATGTTATTACAATTTGTTTACCCATTATAGGTTGAAGGGGGGGATATATCCCCCTGATCCCCCCTCCGTATCTATGCCACTGTCCCGCCTAATTGTTTACTCCTGGGCTCCACCCTTTTCTTGAGCAATCGCCGAATTATGGCGTCTCCCTTAACTCTGACTTAATTATGTACTAAGGGTTCTAAGTGTAAATTCCACATTTTAAAATTTTTTTTCATTTCATAAGGGTGTTTATGTTTACAGTTGCAGATATCAATTATTTTTTTGTTTTTGTTAAAAAACTTACCTAAGAGTCGGCAGGACTTTCGGCCATCTTGGATTTTCCCCAAAACGGCAATGTTATTAATTGTTGAAGCAAATTACGTCATTGTTTATTAAGATAAAAAGTTGCAAAATATCTCATTTTTGCAACTCCTCTCTTGGAGGGAAGGGAAGCCCACGCTACCAAAATAATCAATAATAAAGTAAACACAACGTTGTGAGAGGGGGCAGAGAGAGAGAGAGGAATACGTCGAGGTCAATCCCAACCGCTGCAATGTTACTTTGACGCTGTCATTCGTCCTGGGTAACGTCGTAACGTGGTGGCGACGGTTGTTCGATATACAAGCCGAGTGGTTGGTTTTTATATTTGGGCTTAAATTATAATTTTAAATCGATGTTTGAATTGCCGTTTATCTTCTTAGGCTTGTTCTTTGCGTAAAATGTAATATAGATAATTGTACTCTTCACATTCACTTAATGAATTTATTATTTTATTCGTATTAAAAATTCACTGTTCCCTAAAATTTGTTTGTTGCCCTGGCTCTGCTGCCCCAGTTCCACCGCCCCGGCTTCCCCGCCACGGCTCCGCCGCGGCCACCCTGGCTCCACCACCCGGGCTATGCCGACCCGGCCCCACCTCCCCGGCCCCACCGCCCCCGCCCCGCCACCCTGGGCAACCGCCCGGTCCGCCCACCCCTGGGGCCGGCCCTGCGAAATGACAACAAAATATAAACAGAAAATCAAAAAAATGGAAGAAATTCCAATCACATGTTTTATTTACAGCGTGGAATGAAAATAGAGAAGTTTTCACAATACATGCCCTTGGTCGAGGCAAATTTTGCTTTTTTTTAACATTTGTATACCTACTACTGTGGCCACTGGAATAATGTGAATCGTTTGACTGTTATGTTTTACTCCACAATGAGAAAATCTCTTGTTTTGGGCAGAACTCCTAGACAAGTTTTTTTCTGACAGAAAAACATGGTTTTCCCCATATTAATTTCTATCCCCAAGTGTAGGCCTACCTTATACTAGGACTTTGCGGGTCCGGAAAATCCATATTTTGTTGAGTCTGGTCGGACCAACGGTTGGCACAAGAGAACCCCGTAGGGGCAGAAAATGATATCGGGCCAAGCTTGGATTGAGTCAAGCCGATCCGAGCAAAAATTTCGACCGCAGGGAGCGTTTACGAAGATGCATGCTCGTGCCAGACGATGATGTGCCGATACCGCAGAAGACATCCAAGATTTTTTTAACCTGGGAAGAAGCTCATGCTTTTGCCATGACGACTGAAGATGTTCTCAATTTTACCATGACCACGAAAGATGTATACAATTTCACCGTGATCACGGACAATGTACTCGATTTAACACTGACCCCGGAAGACGTTCATGATTTTACCATGACTACTGAAGATGTTCTCAATTTTGCCAGAAGACGTTCATCATTTCACGGTGATAACTGAAGATTTATCTTTCCGTGACTGCAGAAGATGGTCTCGATCTTGCCGTGACCGCGGAAGACGTCCTCGATCTTACCGTGACCCCGGAATGGTCACCCTGGTTGGGTCTCAAAGGGGGGCTGGAGCCCCCTCTTGCCCATATGGATGGACGCCCATGGGGAAAAAGCTGTATCTTGTAAGAGAAGTCAAAGAAAAATGCCCTCCTCCACAAACAAGTTGATGTAAAATGCTTTAAAACATAATTGCTGGCTTCTAAAAGCCAGAATAATTAAAAACAAGTTTAAAACATTGGCTTCTATTTGTTGTTACAACCTGTTTACAACCTTGCAGAAGATCAAGAATTTTTCATTTAGTTTTTCCTAACTTCCCCACGTTGCCACCACCTGCAGGTAGTTTATTGATTCTTAATACCGATAGTGAAAAATCGACTCTCAATTCTCGATAGCAATTGAAATTTTTTTATCGTACCAAATTTTCTATTTGAATTGGTTATACAATATCACAGAAACCCTGTCTTTAGACCCTTACACAAAATAACTTTGGGGTAGTGGCGTGTTTTTGACGTAAAGAAAAAATTAATCTACCAATGAAAAATTCTGACAGCCTATTAAATTTTTAACTGGAAACATCATTACTGTCTGTTGCAACTCAGGCAAAATCCTAAATATCTCTCAGTGGTTACAGAAACATCACAACTGTTTCTCTCGATAACACCAAAACCCTGAAACATCGTGTAGTCTTCTTAGAGACCAAGGCCGACATATTGCTTAGACACAGCTGTTAATTAATAGCCCATACAGGTAATGGCAACTAAGGGACCTACAGTTAGTGGAATCTGAACCACATTTTTGCCTTGGTATTAACGAATTGGTCTAATTATCAGGATAGTATTGCGGATAGTGGTAGTACTCACTAGTTCAGACGTTAATCCACACCAGGGATTATCGCATCCACAGTGCATACCTCTATACCTATTCTATAATACTCGAGAACCAAACTCTGTCGTTAGTTTATGAACTTGTTGCTAGGTGACAACGTGCTCAGGTACATAAGTTATACAAATACTCTTAGTTGTTAGGCTGCGTTCATGTCGAAGCTGTGATTAGGGATACTAGCTGCGATCCTAGCAATGCGTAGATAATAATCAATGCTTCTCTTGATGGGTCTGTTAACATTGGAGCTGCCTATTTTACATCGTTAAGAATATATAATATAACCTATATATTTGTTGTTCTACAATTAATCATTCTACAGAATAATTTATTACAAACTCATTTTCAACAAAACATAAACTCACAAATTAACCTTTCAGTGCGAGTGTCAAGGCTCAAACATGAAAAGCCGATAAAAGCAGAGCGCTACTCTCTAGATCTCAGTTTGTTGAGTTGAAGGGTGATCGTTCAAGATGTGTGGAGGTAATAATGGGAGTACCGCAGGGTTGTATCTTAGGACCTTTATTATTCCTTTCATCAATTAATGACCTACCTGCCAATGTGTCCCTTTTTTAGACTACAATGTTTGCAGATGACACAACCTTTCTTGGTATAAGCAATGATACAAATGTCTTGTCTAATATTGTCAAAAATACTATTTTAGAAGCCAGACAATTTAGAGCTAATGGTTTGATTATTAATGAGAATAAAACTCAACACTTAGCCTGTCAGACTAGAGATAGAGTTGAGGAGAAAAATTAACCAAATTACATAACAATTTTAACACATTGATTTCATTAGTAGGCTAGTAAGTTGTCTAGGTTTATTTATCTTCTTAAATGGCTTAGCTCTAGTCTGCCTCTGAATGATTTCAAGTCTGTGTATTATCAATGGTATTATGCTTTTTTCACTCAATTTTAAGTTATGGTGTTTTGTTATGGGGAAATAGTACCCATGTAAATAATATATTGTTAATTCAAAAGAAGGCTGTGAGAATCATAACTAGATCTCACCAAAGAGCACATTGTAAACCTTTGTTTGTGGACACTGGCATATTAACTGACATTAATGTTTTTATCCTGCATTGTCCGATTAATGTTAAGAAAAATGAAAATGAGTATGTTTTGCGCCAAGGTATTCATGGTTATAACGCAAGGAATAGGGGTCTAGTTGATGTACTTCCCTGTAGGCTACAGAAAACTACAAAAAGTAATTTTTTTTTTTGTTTAAGTATTAGATTATTTAATAAGCTTTATCCTCAAATAAAGTCCTTGCCGTTAAATGTCTTTAAAATAAAATTAACTATGTGGCTTTCATCTCACCCATTTTCCAAAATTGAGGAATCTTTTTAATATGATCTCATTGTTTGCTAATGTTAATGTTTTAAGTGAGGCCATGATTTTACCATAGGATTTTGCAATACTGTAATTAATTTTCATACATTTCATGTTCACTGTATTTTGATATGTTTTTTACCATATTTCCATCTGCAATTTAACGATAGAAATTTTGTCCCTCTATGTTCATTGTTATACCTATGACAACCATCCCCCATCGCACACACACATCACCAACCATCGCCTTTGTTTAAGTAAGACCCACTGTCATTCATAATTTAAGTTTGTTAAGTTCGCCTATTTTTTTATTTTTTTTTACCTATCAAATGTTAAACTAAGGGCAGCCTATATTTTGATTTTTTTTTTATATCTAATTTTATTAACTATACAAGTATTGCATCTTATATCTTTTTACAAAATCAATTACAATACTGTATTGTTTAAAGAATGAAGAAATGACTATTGACTATCTACTTGGTAGATAGTCAATAGTCAATAGTCAATAGATTCTACTGGCATCGCTGCTCTCATCGTTGCTACAATCGTTCATTGCAGCTCCGACAAACGTCACTAGTAAGCAGCAATAGTGTTGACTAAGCAAGTAGTCTAAGAAGAACCAAGTACTTTTTACAACGGTAGACCAAATACTCGACTCTCCCACCTAACCTGTATCCCTCACCTGAGTAAGTTTATAGCCTCGTCCACAGTACGAGCCTCTTCGCCTTCTAGAGTCATTCTGTTGATGTTCTCCTCTAGGGGTTGATCCAAGTGAGTTTCTACAGCTTTAGGCTTTCCAGTAGCAGCTTGATTCCTTCGTTCTGCTTCCGCCTAAAGCATAGCATATTGCCACTTTTAAACATTTACAAAAGATCACAAGTCATCTATAATATTCTAAAAATAACAGGTGGTTTCTGTTCATCCGTAAGCTGATAGTTCTGGCTCAACAAAAAAGCTAATGAACCAACTGGGCTTAAATTTTATAAAAAAGTATATCATGACACAAAAACTTTCTGTAGTTAGTTGTAGGTCAACACCATAGACTAGCTATAGTAAAAATAAATTTTAAATTATAAAAATTTGAATGGGCCTTATGGGTTGCCATCCTGGTGACAAAATAACAACGAAACAGAAAATCAAAACATATGGAAGAAATTCCAATCACATGTTTTATTTACAGTGTGGAGGTGAAAATAGATAAGTTAGGTCTTTACATTAAATATTATTTTCTAGTCGAGTTTTCAACCACTGGACGACCTCTAGTCTATATTTAATTAAATCCAAGCAATAACTTATGATGGAGGGGATCTTCAATGAAAGAGCCAGTTCTTCTTTCCTTGTTCAAAGTGCAACTATAGGCTACCACCACCAATGTTGGTGTATATTTGATCATTAATTCGTATAAATTATCAAATTTTAAGAAATGTGACATTATATATGTGTATCCTAATGTACTTGATGAATAAAGATAATTTGAATTGAATTGAACTTCGATGATGGTGAGTTATGTTATTTAAATTTACGTTTCGGTTTGCAGCAGGGCTAATTGCTTGAATAACATTCTCACATAGAGACAGAGAGCAGTTTCTCATCAAAACACAGTTTTCCTGCCTAAGGCCTCTTTTGTGCACAACGTTTTCGATTGGGCGGAATCAATGTCCATTTTATGCAGTTTCTACGCCAAACGGAATCCACTGTTTTTCATTGGTGGGGGTTGTCAGTGCTGCCAACTTTATTCATTTGGCAATCATCAGTGACAGTGACCCAAGATAGATTCATGTTTATTGGTTTATACCTATTTGTGCGTAGAGAAAAATAGACGTCGGCGAAGGAGTTGTGGGATGTACACCCGGTGAATGAAAGTCGTAGGGCTGGCCTTTTATACAAAAATTCCCATATCAATCCCGGGTGATACCTTTGATACAAAAATCCTCATGCCAGTCCCAGGAATACAAAAGAAATATTAGGTATTCCTATGAAACAGTAAGGATGTATTATTCCGCGGATTTAAACAAAAAAGTAATGTTCGACCAGTACATTTTTTCCCAATTACATCTCTTTATTTGTACTCTTTAACCTATTACAATGAATAATGAGTGGATGACAGAGCACGGGGTAGGTTGGCAGCCCTACATTCCGCCCAACGTAAAACGCAGTTGCATGAAAGATTTCCATTTGATCCCATGTTAAAACACTCACCGACGGAATGCCCGATAGATTCTGATTGATTCCGCCCGACGGGAAACGTCGTGCATAAAAGAGGAAAGAGGCCTAAAAGACATATTTATCATTCTTGAGCAACAGATGTATTTATACATTTTTTTAATTTTTAACTCACACCAAGCCCCTTTCTCTCAAAATACTTCGGTTTTCAGCCCCCGACTTTGGTGGGTTTCTATTTCATTGTACTAGAGTTGCTCTGCCTTAAATGTTTGTTATTCATGCATTATCTTCTGTCATGCAAATAATCCTAGCATGCAAATGACCATTATGCTGCCATTTCCAACGAAGTGTTTTTCAAGCCGGGAAGACCAAGAGCGACCAAGAGTTCACTGTGATCATTGTTGTCGTATTCAGGTGTTGTCGTCTCATTGGGATGTGTAGTCATGTCTGGTGTGTCATCATTCCATGATGTTGTACTCTATGCTGAAGTTGGGTCTGGTCAACAAACTCCTCTTGTAGTGGTAAGGCCTTGAAGTCTGCTTCAGAGATTTCTCTTGCATAGATCTTCTTCCAATTCTCCAGAGTCTTCAACAGTATGGTCGGGTCCTCGATGCAGGAGTGGAAATTCCATGGGCAAGCAATCCCTCTCTTGGTTATTTCCAGGTCCAGAACTTGTCTTAGGTCCTCGTGCGCAGGACATTCCATGATTGCGTGCTGTGGGTGATCCACCTCTCCATTGATCACAGGTGTCCTCTTCACTCTTGTTAAACCTGCGTATATAAGTACCAAAAGCACCATGTCCGGTGAGAAGCTGAATTGCAGTGTGGTCTAGATAAGGGGTCATGTTGCTGACTCTGATTTCTGGGAGGAGTCCATAAGTGAATCTTCCAGTGGTTGCACTGTCCCATTCCTCTTGCCATTCTAGCTTGTGTCTGACTCTGATGTCTTTTCTGGTTTCCTCAGTCAGTCCCTTCTTGGCCTTCCAAATTTCTAAGTCCATAGTTAGCTTGATGTGAATGGGCATGTTAACAGTAACTGCACACAGGGCCTGCAATGAGGTCGTTCGATAGGCTGCAGTGATGGAAATAAGAACTCGCCTTTGAGCTTCCCTGACCTTCCTTACTACGTGGTTCATTCTATGTTGCCACGCCCTGGCTCCATAACTGATAACTGGGAGAAATACTGCGTTGTACAAAAAGTTAAGCTGGCAGAACTTGACCCCATATTTCAATCTTATCATTCGAACTATACTACTGAAGAGGTTCACTGCTTTCTGACTAGTCTCTTTCACATGGGGAGTGAAGGCCATATTTGTATCCAATGTGAAACTAAGATATTTTGCCTTGTAGGCCTACACAAAGCAGATTGGGTTGTTTTCTAGTCTGATAGTCGGGTTGCTGGCCATTCGGCCCTTTAGCAGTAGGCCTATTCCAACTTTTTTTGGTGCCGAGATCCTCATCCTCATCCTACATTGTAAACTTGTAGGCTTTTTCTTTCAATTTCCCTTCTTGATTGTGCCTCAATTATGAATGCCACATCGTCCGCAAAAGCAATGGGGGTTACCACCTCTGGGGGCAAATGATGGGGTAAATGTAAATGATTACCAAATGTATTGGTACAGGTGGGTTATGAACCATCAAGTCACAAATCATCACACAGTATTTCGCCATTGGTGATTGACAAGATTCCATTTGAACCCAAGATCTCCAGGGCCGAAGTCTTAAGTGGATTAGGCCTATGTCCGCACTAGTGAGTACTATCACTATCCGCAGTACTATCCTGATAATTAGACCAATTATTTAATACCAAGGTAAAAATGTGGTTCGGATTCCACTATAAACTGTAGGTCCCTTAGTTTCCATTAGCTGTATGGGCTATTAATTAACAGCTGTGTCAGAAGGAATATGTCGGCCTTAGTCACTAACAAGAATACAAGATCACGCCACTCATCCAACACTCATCTCCATTCATACTTGGCTTAAAATACCTACTTTGTATGGTCGCCATTTCAATGAAAAGTATTAAAGCACCTATACTAGAGATTCTTTGGTTAAAAGAATTTTTGTATTTAGGCATTAGGCCTATGTGAGCAAATCAGATGTGAAGCAACTAATTATTATAGCTCCAATAAATCTTATCGCAGAGAAATAACGTAAACCTTTAAGTTACCTCAACAAAGCATATTTTACTTACCGTTATTTGAGCCCTGGTGATCTTAGCTGCTGGTTGTTTACCTCCAATTTTTATGGAGTTTACCTCTTCCTCTATTATTTGTTTTGCTTCTTGTTTCTTCTTCAGTTGTTCCAGCTTTCTTTTCTCTTGTTCTTCCTAAATTGAACAGAATAATTGGATAGAGAGTACAATAACCATCTCTTTACTAACAAAGCTGTTTAGGCCTAAGCTTAGCCCAGATCATTAACATTAGAGCTGGCTTTGAATTTTGTTAGCCTATATATGATAATTTATTTATTTTTATTAATTTATTTATTGCATACACGGCAAACGCCATTTTACAGGAGAGTTGAGTTGAGATTGATAGTTAGTGCGATCAATAATTAAATATTTTAACAAGTATAAAATACTAATAAATAATATGAAATATAATAATATGAAATACTAATAAATAATATGAAATATAAAAATATGAAATACGATAACAATACAGTTTTGATTAATAAAATATCATGATTTACAGGACGTGACAGCTATACAGGCATGTTGCACGAAAAACAAAATAAATAAGAAAATTTAACAACAAAAACAATCATAATATAGCTGATCAAAATCATAATGATGATCAAAATCTTATTTTAGGCTAAAGAGAAAATCAATTTGTTACTTAAGGCATCTTTAAAGAAAATAAGGCCACTCTTACTTTGTTTATATACCGTCTCATCCATAGTGTCCAAACATTTTTATGTTCCACCTTAACATCCTAGGACGCTATGTTCAAGCCCATAACTGGTTTCCACACATTAACTGGTTGCACATTAGTCCTAGAGGGACACGGAATCATCAAACAGATAAAATCCATCGGTGAGTGGCGGGATTTAAACCTAAACCACGAACTTTGAAGCCCCGAGCTCTACTACTAGACCAGCTTGCTCCCTCAAAGTGTAAACAAAAGGGAGCCAAAATACAACAGTGGAACCTTAATAGCCAGTTACACTTGATAACAAGTGGCATTGACAAATACTCTTGATATTGTATTACCCAATATCAAATGTTATTGCAAAACTCTATAAAAAGTCTAACTTGATGAGAAGTCTTTGAACATCCTCATGAGAGACTTGCTATCGAGGTTCTAATGTGTTACCAAATAGACGACCAATAGTAGGCTATCCATTTACCTTTCTGGCTTGTTTCTTGGCAAGGCTTTTGTCATCATCCTTCCAATATTCATCTTCAAGCTGCTTCTGCTTCAAAGCAGCTTTTTCTTCTTCTGCTGCTGCCTTACGTGCTTTAGCAGCAACAGCCTTACTGTTTTCCCCAACAAACTTCTTTGGCATAGCGAAAATTTGAGTTATCTGTAGATATTGATCTGTAAATAATATACTTAGTGTTGTGTGACTCTAGTGACATTAGTTAGACAAGTATATACATTGGAATCGCTAAACCAATTTTTGTGGTCCTTTACAGTTAACATTAGGAGAATAAATAGTGAGAGAGTGATAGAGTTAGTAAACAATAGTAGAAATGATATAATAGGCTATTAGGCAGAGTTAACTACCTATAGGCTATAATCAAGTTTGCTTTCAAATTCTGTTCTCTTAGTTTTGAGAATGACAAAACTACCAGCTGCCAAATAAACCAGCTGCCATTTAATACCAGCTAAGCTTACCAATTGCTTAAGAATGTAGCCTAAACTGTGTGAATTGTTCTATGGTTAAGATATTTACTCAAATTGCTCTCTGGCTACCTAATTCACTCCACTCCCCACCATTTTATTCTACTTAACCCAGGGTTTACAGTTCGGCCAAAGTTTCTGTGCGCGCGACCAGATCTGGTTGAGTCTAGGCGAGGGGGTTGGCGGGGGTACTTTTGTGAAAACATTTGGGTACTTACGTATTATACGGAGGCCACTTATTTTACAGCGCGCTGCGGCGGTTGGGTTAAGTTGGGTTATCATAAATATGTTTGTAGAACTTTCCTAGTTTCGTTATGAATCGAACTATACGAGATGAGTCATAAAAACTTATGATAACCCAACCTAACCTAACCGCCGCAGCGCGCTGTAAAATAAGTGGCCTCCGTATAATACGTAAGTACCAACATTTGTTTCTTGCTACTCACTCGTCACTACTCCTAGCACTGATAATAGCCGGTATCCGTATGTTTTAGTTCGGCTAGTAGCAACCCGTCCACGCGCACAGAAGTTTTGGCCGAACTGTACCCAAGTTGAAAAACAGCACTGATAATAGCCGGTACCCGTATGTTTTAGTTCGGCTAGTAGCAACCCGTCCACGCGCACAGAAGTTTTGGCCGAACTGTACCCAAGTTGAAAAACGAGTCATAACGTGCCTATTGACTTGCTCTTCTGCTCATCCCATGAAAGGCAGCCTTAGAAAGCATAAAAAAACTGCAGAAAAACTGTGTATTTAAGGTTTAAGGAGATTTTTGAATCATTCCTAAGCTACCATTTAACTTATGTGTGCAAAGAATGTAGCCCTATTAGACTAGGTTCAAATATGTTTGAACCATACCCTTAGAGACGTAAAAATGTTAATGGCAAAATAAATTGACCAAGATATACACCACAAACAGTACGAATATTTATAAGTTAGTCGGTATAATATTTTATGATGTTTCTAATCAAAATACTAGTTAGGTCAGAAGAGGTGAGTCTAGACTTGGCTTTGTCAAAACTGGATGATTGAGAATCCTTTGCCTAATTTGCTATGCTAAATTTATTTAGTGTACTTACGAAGTAGTATTTAGAGTGTTTTATTGATGAACAACAATGTTTCGCACTGTTATAGATTAATTGTTTTAAAGTTTTATTATTTTATGTTTAAATCCAAGTTATAGAAAGGTTATGTTATGTTTGACTTTCGTTTGAGTTTGACAGATTGAGAAAATATTGCAAATTGCAGTAAAGTAGAAAGCATAGAGTAATACAATTTAGTTGAAGTATATAATACTACACTATAATAAGATACTGTTTCTAAATTTTGTAAAATCATAAAAATAACCACCATAGACCATAATAATACGCATGATTTCGTTGAGTGGAATTGTAAGGTTGGGAGCCCGAACCCGCAGAAGTATAGTTGACTATAAACTATAAGCATAAGTGGAGTATGTTTTATCTATGCTCTCTGGGTATAACTTGGTGTACAATGGAGTTGAGTTGTCTGCTTGCAATATCGGGCGGAACTAGCATATTAATCGAAAACTTTTCCAAAATCAATGCTAAATCTGGGTAACATAAATAACTAGGATTGCTTTCATAGTAATGAAAGCCAATTGAACGGAGCAATCATGTTTCATGGTTTTTAACAGAGCAATAAATGGAAAAATGTTTATAGATACTAGTTGTTACCAGTTAATAATATTAACTACATTTCAATGTCATTTTAATAATTATCTAAATACCATTTTACCTTTTCACTACATAATAAATCGAAATTCAATACTCAATACTGCAGTTTTTATAATGGTTTTAACAGAGTTCAGAATACTGCCCGACAAAACATCAGTTAACATTTACAAACTCTTTCCATGATCTCTTTGCGCAAACACCCTAATAACGTCTTTAACCAGATGACCTTGGTTACGTTTGTTCTATAACCATTATTTGAGTGTCATATAAGTCAATGCATGCTGAATATAGTTCACGTGCTTAGTAAGGAGACGTCTCATCTAAGTGAACTATATTCAGCATTGACTTATATGACACTCAAATAATGGTTATAGAACAAACGTAACCAAGGTCATCTGGAGTCCTTACAGTATCCAAAGTCAATGCTTCATCTGCTTCTCGTAAATTTATAGATCTCTACTTGCAGTATCAGTATATAAACTCAATGGTACATCTGGATGGTACATCTGGTACTATGGTACATCTCAATGGTATATTTGTTAACCAAATATATCATTAACTTTGGATACAGCAATTATACATACATTACATTGACGTGAACCAGATGCAATATTGATATTAAATACTGGAAGTATTAATATCCCATTTACAAGAAACAAAGACATTGACATTGGATACTGCAAGTAGACATTCCATTTCCTTGAACCAAATGTGCCATTGGCCATAGATACTTCAAGTATACATTTAATTTATGAGAACCGAAAGACCATTGACTTTATATACTGCAAGTAGACATCTTATTTACGTGAACCAAGTGTACCATTGACTTTGGATACTGCAAGTAGACTAGACATCCGACATCCCGTTTACGTGATATAAATGCACCATTGCCACTGGATACTATGCAATATGACTAATATGAGACATCTCATTGAAGAGAACCAAAAGGATCATTGGCTTTGGATACTGTAAGTATACATCCAATTTACGTAGGCCTATAGCAAATGTAGCATTACCTCTGGGTTCTGCAAGTAGGCATTCTATTATTTATGTGAAGAAGACATTCCATTATTTATATGTACCATTTAATAAGTATTCGGCCAGGAGAAGTCTCATTTACGTGAACTTGATTTAGCATTGACTTTGGATACAGTAAGTAGACATCGACATCCTATTTACGTACAACAGACGTAGCATTGACTTAAACAGTTTTGATTAATATGCTTGCTCCGCTCAATATTGCAAGCAGACAACTGCATTGCACACCTAGTAATAACGGTTTGTCTCTATTTTGTTTATATGCAAACCCTGGCTATTTAACCACTGATTACGAGATTGTGTAATTTTTTATATAAGGTCGCTTAAAGCAAATTTAATAATCGATTTTCGCAATCTGACACATACTTTCTCCCATTAGCTTGTCAAAAACCTTTATCATATGGGTAAGCGATGAGAGTACCTATGATATTTAATAGGTAAAATCACTAAAGTTGCGTTAACTTTTGAACAGTAATTTTTACAGAAATGAAGGGATGCACTATTTTGTTTTGAATTATAAGGACCAAAAAACCATTTTTCCTTTTTTATTGGTTTTCATGGGAAGATAACATAAGTTACAATAACTTTTGAACCGTAATTTTTACAATAATGAAAGTTTAGTCATTTTGTTCAAAGTTTAAGGGCTACAACAAACTAAATTTTTTTCAAAATCGTTCTGGCCGATTTTCCATTATTTTATGGGTTTTTATGGGAAAATCAACATTAAAAATCAAAATGAAAAAACACCTAACTATACCATATATTAGTATCTACAAACCAAATTTCATCAAAATCGGACCACAGGTGTGGTCTGTAGCTCTGTACACATCCACACATACAGACACACGCACACGCAGATATCACTTCGAAAACCACTTTTCTGGGTTCAGGGGTCCCAAATCGAACATGTCCACAAAAAACTCAAACTCGAACATTTTGACGAAAACAATACTTTCTCCATACTGTATACTATGTAGGTATAGGAGGAGAAAGCAAAATGCATCTTATATTAGCGGGAAGATGAGGAGTTGAGTGTGAGTGGGGTAATAAAACGAAAATTCTCATAGAGAATGTGTGATTGTTCATTGTTTTTGTCAAGTACGAGCACATTTCTTTGATCAGTAAGATCATACCTGATGTAACCCTAGCCCGAAGCACCATCTGTATAAGAGCTATTGGACTACAAGACTACACCCCACCTGCTGGCCTTGTCGACCAGTTCACCTTCGTCGGAGTCCGTTGTTTAAAATAGCTACGAGTAATTCAATAATTGTCGCCGGCGACGTAAGAGGATAAACAAAAAAGGTCTCATCAGTAGGACAATAAAAACAAGACACCTACCAGAATCGTTCAGAGTACTACCTGGAACTTTTTCAAAAGTTACTTTTGTGTTTGGTAAACACTCGACGAGTCTCGGAAATCAAAGTGTTGGATTGCTGAAATATTTGTAAGCCTACATTTTTATTTATGAATAAGAAAAAACTATCTGAAGACTGCGTTTAAAGTTCGTGGTAGACCCAGGGCTGTTCTCGATAGTTAAAATGTTAATAACTACTAGTAGTCCATTAAACTGACTACAGAAATTGCTGGTCTTAGCGGTCTTAGTATGTAACAAAGCTTCTCATGTCTCGCTGACACAAGCTCACCTTCCATTCATGTATATGTTGAAATACACTTTAGGTGAGTATAGATATCATATACAAGATACTGTAATACAAACTGCACACACATAAATCGTTGATTAGAACTTCAAGTGATTCTGGAAATAGAACAACGATTTCAAATTCGTTTAGTTGCATTTTATTTCGAGGTAGGGTTTCATCTACGATACTTTTATCCAAATACAATCTATTTTTATTCAATAAATTAATTGTTAGGTTGCTTTGTTTACAGAAAAGATTAAATTTATTAATGTTATTCTGCCATAGAAGTTTAATATCAAAACAAAAATAATTTAATAAGCTTAAGAAATACCATTGAAAAAACTATTGATTTCGACTCCATTGTAAACTAGTAAATGTAATACGTCGTTATCAGTGACTACTGACTTAGAATAGTGCAAGTAAAGTCTACGCCTTCTTTGTGGTAGTTAGTAGTAGTAGACTTCTCACCATATTGTAAGCTTGGAGGCTTGTTTCGATGCATTTTTCATGTTATTAACGCTTGAGTTTAGCCGTGGCGTGTTTTCTATACATTTAAGGTACACCCTTATTATAGCATCTACTTGATTATTTTACTATAATACTAGAGAATAAGTAATAGTGTATTCGCCAAACTACTACTATTTTAATTTGAACGGACTTCAAACGCATGGATTTATCCGAAGAAAAACTTTAGTCGCCTATAAATCAAATGGGATTTTGTTACGTACGGAATGTTTACCCTAGACTAACCAACACAAGTAGTCTTCTCGTCCCATTGTAAATTTTGAAGCTCGTTTTTCGTGTCTAGTTCATGTCTGGTAACACTGATCGCTAGTGACAACGAAATTTTGTTTCCTTTATTTAGGGTAATATAATGTTAGTATGACGAAAAATATAGTACATCACACGGGAAAAAAAATTGTTCAACCCTTGCTCATTTTTTCGCATTATTTTGAAACCTAAGCTCGTGTTAAAAGGATCGATATGTGCCCTAGTGATGACTTATTGTTAGCATTCATGTTGGTTGAATGACAAGAAACGAATATCTATATAAATAAAATTAGAGTTTTGTCTGTACATTGCTAAGAATTATATATTTTTAGGTTATTTTTAGGTTTTATACATTGAAGAAGCAGAAACGAGTCTTATCTCTATTTCTGTCTGTCTGTCTGTCTTTCCCTCTGTCTGTAACACTCAAGATGGCATTTTACGCAATCTTCTCCGTGAAAACCAGAGTACCTATCAAGATCCAAGTCATTTTAATGTATTCACTGGATTGGCGAGAGTGTCTTTAGTGATTAAAATATAGCCTCACTACTTTGTAAATACAATTACGGACGTTCAAAAATGCAGTTTTGTGCGATTTTTGTCAAATTTTCGTATAATTTTTATCACGTAATCGTCTATGAAATAACGAACAGCTGTTCGGATCAAGATTATTTTTTCTAGCTGTCACTGATATGTTTACAAATACCGCAACCATTTCGAATCACGTTTTGAAAGTAAATCCTAACCAATTGAGATTAAAAAGTTTTTCTTACATAACGGATTTAATTAATCGCAAGTGCAATAATATATTGTAATAGTGTAACCGTAAATGAAATTAAATAACTAGGCATCATCCAGATCAGGAACCAAAATATTTGTGTATAAAATTATTCTTGAGTTTTTATAACCAGAAAAAAGACCTTGAATCATGTGTGGCTGGGACACTTAATGATCGTCGTCAATAGCTTAAAAAACAAGGTTTCCACTCATTGACGGCGCTTCAATGGCGATTGTGTAGAGTGTGTAAAGTAAAAAAATCACAACTGCAGGAGGTGATTGTAAAAGAGGTTTACGGATGATGCTAAACTCGCTTTTCCAATGTGTCACTTTCTATTTCTACTCACCGTGTAAATGCAATCGCTGGACCATACAGCAAATAGGCACATAGCCCATCTCTTGGGTATGTACGCCTACCCATTTATTCATCGAACAACCTATTTTCGATGACGATCCTTGATACCAGTACTTTTCCATAGAATTCATGGCCTACCTACTTAAGAAATAAAATTACAAAATACAAATGTCCAAAAACCCAATTAACATTGTGTGATTTTTGTCGTCACATTCAACTGACTACTATCAAGATCCCCGTACGTAGAACGGGCACACAGCTAGTTTAACATAAAACACTCTGCATAAAACTGACAGAAACTTACCTTAAAATCAAAATGGTGTTCGGCTGATCCATTAGGATGGAGATAAAATGTTTTAACTATGGTAATACTATTAGGTTTCTCTTATCGATAGTGAGGTTAGGTCATTATTCACTTTCTTATGCATTATTCCCTCTTTAAAGTATCCCAAGAAAATCGTATAGGTTACTTTAGCAGAAAGGGTAGATTAATATTTGTTTTTTAGGAACGCCCAGTTCGGGAATCAGACTGGATCCTGCCTCTGCCTGACCATTGACCACCCTAACCTTGGCAATCAGAGCAACTGCGAAGTTCAAGGCTACACGTCTGAATCACAGATATACTGTTGTAGTTGCCTTTTGCCTTACCCGTGCTACATAACGGGCGGGGGGCTCAGAGAATAATTAATTAAGATCTTTAAATCCAGTTTAAAAAGTTACACACACCACCGTTGAGTACAAAAAATAGTGTGCTAAGTAATTTCATAAAATCCTTTGATGATTTGTCAATCAACCGACACAACATGATCAAGAACTTTATAGAAAGGCAAACAAGGTCGTATGAGACTAAATTTAAATATTTTGGATTTTTTACCCATGGCGACTAATGAGTTTTTGCAGTGAAAAGCTTTACATAGAAACTTAGGACGTCAATTGAACGTTGCCTGGGGGGATTTTAAGTCCATGAAAATGCCTATATGTTGGCTTAGCTCAATAAGTCGGTTCCATCGTTTGTTAGTTTGCCGGAAACAAACGGATGCACAGTTGCACAAACGCTTCGGGAGACACATCTATATTTCTTAATTTTATACTCGATATATCTAGATAACGCAAATGCTTGGATTTTCCTAAAAGTTTCTGTTGATTGTCATTATATTTACATTGTTTTATTTTATAATAAGCAAATGTTACTACTCAGTGAAAATTTTGATAACCTTTTCTGGAATTAATTATATTTATTGAAGCAGTTCTGTATTTATATTTACATGATGTAAATCTTGAAATGAGTGTTTTTTATGAATCTGAATTTAATCTTTTTCCTTCAAAATCTCAAGTTTCTATTGCTAATTTTATCTACACCCAACGTTCTCCTAGTTGTAAAGTAGAAACTACAGGTTCCCCAATTTCTCAAGTTAGACCATTTTAAATTATCTTTTTAAATATTACAATGCTTCACTTGCATTCAATTGATCTCTTCACAAAATACGTTCAGACACAATACAATAATTATTGTATTCGTAATACAAACAAGTCACTGATTTAACTGGCTGCATGGGTAGCAAAAGGTTATATTATAGCTGCTAACTGCTAACAGTCAAAAAGGTTGCCGGATCGATCCTGAGAAAACTCAGTACTGTAGCTTTTTTATGGTTCGAAACCATAAAAATGGTGGGTGTCTCTGATCAGTGGGATTTAGATAAATGATCATGGCTAATGAAACAGCTGATCAGTCAGCAACAAAGCTACAATCTCACCCCATTCCGACATTGACCCTTCACTCAAAATAGGGATAAAATACGCATCTAAGGTGGCATCCTTATCTCAATTGACATTTATTCTAATGCATAAATTAATCAGCTACAATATAGCTCTTTAATAAAATGTTAATCTCTAGGTGGAAAGCGTCCTTTACTGACATTCTCCTTCATCTATGTTATTATTCGACCTTCCTGTAATTTGTTGTCTCTATCTTTAGCTCTATCTTTACCTTCCATTGTATCCACCACTGTGATTTATTTTCGTAATAATCTTTCTCGTGTTTTCTGTCCCAAAACTCCTTATTCCCTTTGCTTCTAGGCCTACCTTCCTTCATAATCCCTGGACTTTCTTCCCTCCCTTATGGTTTAAACATTCCTCAGTTCTATACCACTAGTCTCTACTTTCTATGGTCACTATCTCCGTGGAGATTAATTCCTTGAGGTGTATTCCCCACGATCTCTTTTTACTCACTTCTTACCTCAATTCTTTCTTTCTGCGTTATTTCTTCCTTAGTGCGTCTTTCCCCTAGAATTTCTTTCACTCATTGATTCTCTACTTATCTCCTTTTCCTCCACGGAGCCTGTATACTCCAAATTCATTATTTTCGCCCACTACAATCTCTATCCTATGTTCCCTACCCTCCTTGACTACACCCTGGGTCTCCGCCCGGCCTTGCTCCGAGGGCGTGGCGCATGGCGGTGAGATGGCCCGCGGTTTTTGTACATCTTGAGTCTTCTTGGTCGTTTTTCCCGCTGGTCCTCATATATAAGCTAGCTGACCGCTGGTAGTCTATTGTCTTCAGTGTCTAGTGCTACATCACGGATCATCATGAAGGTATTGATTGTTTTGTAACTTTTCTATTAGTTATTGCTTTGCATTTTTATATTATATTAGAAATAATAATGGTCCATTTTTGGCTACGTAACAAATTGTGTTAAGTGAAATGGAAAGTTCAAGTAGTGAATGCATTTTTTAGTAGTAAACAATCAAACGTTTACCCTGAAACGTTAAAAATTGGTCTATCGGTGTCAATATCGTTCTACATCGCAAACTTTAAACAAAGAAATACAATAACTGATACATCGGAGATGTTGACATTCATTAATTCATTCTGTAGCAGTGCAAGTCAATGAGTTTTGACGAAGAGTGTATAACTCTTTATGTGTATCAATCATAAAAACATTTCCTTTGCAAAACAATGTTTTATTAAATAACTTACGCTGAAAAAACTATTTATGACTCGAGAGAAATATACAGCTAAATCGTGTATGAGCTTGATGATACTCTTAGCAGTTTAGAATTCAGTGTTTTTATAACTATAAATACCCAAGACCCTTCAGGAACTCGAGTTCGAGAAAAAGTAAACAGAGTGCATACTCCTCCGTGTTCAACAAACTGTGATATGGACATAAACTCTCAAAGAATTACAGCATTCATTTGACATTTATGAATACAAAATAATTTAATGGTATAATGTTCGTTGTATATGTATATGTTAAAGCAATATTTTTGTAAGTATAAAAACATTAAATCTGCTATAAACAGTATTGGCGAAGTATGTTGTGGGGTTTAAATTATCAATAAAACTACTTTAATTTAAAACGTAAACCTGAAGGTGTAGAATGTAGTAGTATTCAACAATTAAGCTAAAAAAAACTTTGATCCTCACAATAATAGTTTTGCAGTTAAATTTCAAAATGAAATTATTAATTTTCTCAATAATTTTTAGTATTATTGCGCTGTAAGATCAAACAAACACCTCATGTATAAAATTTAGCCCATTACAGATTTACTGTAAACTAACATTTTTCTTGTCATCTAAATTATATATAATAATAGAATACCTATGTAATTATTGCATTGAGAAAAAATAAGAGATACATTTGTCTGGAGTACTACAACGAAGCATAACGATTAGGATACAAAAGTTCCACTTTGGCTTCAAAGACTCTCGATGAGATAGACATTTTTTTAATTTCTTCTCTCTAATCAAGTAAACTCGGGTTTTGCAAACTACATTACTTCAATTTGTTTGGAATTAATTATGTTCAATGAGTTAGGAATTCAATGAATTTTTTACATTGACAATGGCAACTCTAATGTGAAGAAGAAACCTATTTCTAATGGTGATATTGTAGCTAGTTATTTGAGCCTAGTAGTGTGTGTGGATACCAATGCTCGAATTCGAGCAACAGGTACTCTAGTTAGGTTAATTTCACAACTATGATGTTTATATGGTCCGAAATGTCCTTAGTAAACTTAATTTTTATTATAACAGGTGATGATTAAATGATTTGCAGACAACTACTGTAATTTCAAATAGTTCTCATCTGCGACAACAAAAAACAAAAACCCAAAACAAATTATTCTTTCCATACGAACTCCATGCTACCTTTGATCTTCTGTGTGGCAGGGCTAATTGGGAATTTTGTAAAATCGCTTCTAATTGTCTGCCTTCGCTACGAGAGGAATATGTATGCAAAATCTCATGCTTCTAGGTGCTATGGTTTTGATTGTGCGTTGAACGGAATTACGCATTTATATATGGAGATTAATACATCAAAATCACTGGCCATAACAGTATTAGATATTAACAAAGAAAATATAGATGTTCACATTTTATGAGAAAATCATTTAACCATGTTCTACCACTGAACAACATTATGTAACTTCACTGTGTCAACCACCTTTAGTTATGGCTTTATATCCTGAATAATTGAAGAGTTTTAAGGTATATTTCTGTCTGTCACTCACTACGACCTATTCCTCCAGGTTGTTGCAGTCCTCTTGGCCGTCTTCGCCGCCTCCTCCGCCGCTCCTGCTCTCCTCTACCCCGCGGGCACCGCCCCCCTGGTCCACGCCCCTAGGTACGACTCTGCCATCATCCGCAGCGACCGCCTGGGGGGCAACTTCGCCTACAGTACTCTGGAGGCCCACGCCTACTCCTCTGTCTCCCCCATTGTGCAGAATGTGATCTCGCCTGTAGGAGTGTCCTATACTGCGACCCCTATCCAGGTATGTTCTTCACATCATTGGCTCTAGCAATTGTCGTGACATTATCACATACCGTAACAAAACAATTGTGATTGTTGGGATTTGAACTAGGGTTGTCCGAGATTGAAGCTCCGCACTCTACCACTAGGCCAGTTTGCTCTCCAACGAGATTAGTAGTGGAGATAACGTATTGATAACATCCAATGTTCCTTTTGACAGTATTATAACAATGAATTGGGGATTGGAGTGACGACTTAAGTACTGAAAATGTGAACGTGGTCGCGTGAAAATGTTTGAACATTCTGAAAAATAGTTACGCATCAGTAGTATCTAGTATAACTTCCTAACGGCGCGGTGCTCCAGCTATCTCAGAGTCCCAATGGGAATGTTTTGTTATGAATGAAACTTTAATTCAATTGCCTCCGATTACAAGTATTATTTTTGCAGTAGTTTTGATAAGTTTTGAGGTATGGCTTAAATGTTGGTGTAATTGAAGTTGAAGAAACTCGGACTTAGAATTTAAAATTTTGAATTGGACGTACTTGGCACTAAATTGAACCAAGGTATGAAATAAGAAAAATTTACTACAAAATCATTGTTTATTTCTGTGTATCCTTAGAGTTGAACGAGTAATTACAATTATTGTTCTATCTTCCGTAGTTCCAAGAATGGTTATAATCATAAGGATTGAAACATTTTAATTAAATAAAATATATTTCGAAGAATATTTGCAAATTTTAAAAAGTTGGGAATAACTTGGTCATGTTTCAGTACCCCGCTTTCGCAGCTTACCCGGGCTACGCCCCCGCACCTGCGTTCGTCGCTAGCGCCCCAGTGGCTTCTTACGCACCCATCGCTCCTATTGCCCCCATCTACCCTGGCGTGGCCCCCGTAGTCGCCCCCGCTGCCCCCGCTGCTCCTGAGGCCCCAGTCCCCGCACCTATCGCTGACGAAATCCCCGCCGCCGATAACGTAGAGAGCTCTGCTTCTTCTGATGACTCCATCACCGTCGAGGCCGCATAGACTGAACCTTCCTACAAACCCTGGGCATTACTGTTTTAGTTTTAGGTAATAAAATGTTAAAATTTTACTGTCTTAGATTTTGTTCCATGCATTAACGTTATCATAAGAAATACTTTCTACAAATGTTCAACTAATTTTGAATTTCTGTATTCAGTGAGACAGAATGTGTTATAATGCACCAGATGATATCTACAGCCTGCGAATAGATTGTGTAAGGAGAAGTAACCAATTAACCTTCTCATCACTCTATCAGTTGTAATCTTTGCAGGGCCGGCTAGAGGGTGGAGCAGGGGGGGCAGAGCCCCCGGGCCTTGGGTTCTGAAAGGGGCCCGGCCTGTTAAAATGTAAAATCTTTTCTGTACATGTAATCTGCTAAGGCAAAATTTTAGCATGGTTTTCTAGTTCTCTTAGTAATTTTTGACTGGAATAAGTTGCAACTGTGAGCACGAGAATTAATACCACGAGATAATAGCACGAGAATTAACATACATTTTAGATATGTATTCTTATATGTGTAACAAAACGGCACGGAGGCTGCTGGACACTACTAAATCAGGAAAATAGGGGGCCCGGGATAGCTCAGTCCAGGAGCCCATGACAGCTCTCGCCGGCCCTGAATCTTTGCTTTGGCAAACCTTTGTTGCAGATACGTCCCCTTTTCTATCAGATAGGTTTTAAAATGTGTATCATTTGTGCGAGAGTAACAATATTGACAGCAATAACTTAACTACCGCAAAACACGATAAACGACAACATAACAAAAGCATCGATCGTTGAAACTTAAACAACCATTATCAATCTACATGAACTATGCACATTATTTTAATATTAATTTTAACCTAATCTATTCTCCAGTCTCGAAAAAACAAATTGATTCCCCATGTCTTGAACAGTATCGAATGAGCTAATCCTAAATACTGAGAGTAGTTGCCAACCTTTCCCTAGTTAAGGTTTTAGTCAGATTTAGAAAACTAACACAGTTGAATCTAGCCACCGACAGATTGTGCTGCTGTCAATCACTGTTTTCTGTTATCTCCAGGACCTTTTAACCAAGCCAAACTGAAATTACTACTTACTGTAAATCTACATCACCCTTTACGTCACATAATGAAATTATCTACAACTATGAGAAAATATATATTTTTGACAATAGCACACTTTGTAACACTATCTGTAACTGGCTCTGTGGTTATAGTGTTCGCCTAACAACTAGGTCATCGGTACGATCCTTTTGATGGTTCGAAACTAGACCCAGCTGTCATTGATCATTGGGTTTTAAATAAATGGTCCAAGTAACAGTGTATGATAGTGATAGTCAGGAACAAAGCTACACAGATCATATCGCTCTATTCTGCACTCACCTTGTTTTGCATTTATGGGTAAAATACATACCCAATGTCAATTGCTTGAATGTAAGGCTAAACTTCATGACGCTCCTTCTGCATTATCTGCTTATATTCCCCCTCTCTCTCTTGCCACTTCGACCTTGATATCCTGCTGGGTGTGACGGGAAGTGCTGATCAGGTGACTGGATTATGATATAATGATATTAAACTGCAGTCCTGCTCATATAGCGGAGGAGGAATGCCAGAAGTCTTCTACTATGCTGAGAAGCGGTAAAATGTAGTCTTGGGCCGAAAAAAATTAAGCTCAGCACAGTAAATGTTGTGCGGTTTGTAAAACTGTTATGCAAAATTACTAAGCAATTGTAGGTAATTCACTCAAAAAACTCTTTTTTTCCAAAGAATTTGTGTGAATTAGTTAAGGTTAAGGGGATTTGCCACTGAAAATAGGTAAAAATCATGAAAAATTTAAAAAATCCATTTTTTGTAAATTGGACCCTATTACATCCAAAAAGTATGATTATAGCCATGTCTGAATGTTATTTTCATCTAAAATACATGTTTTATGTGTTACTGCACGTACGCGAAATTTTACGATTTCATGTATTACCGTAACGTTTCAGCTTGGGTTTTATATATGATAGAATTTTGTATAATATATGCCTGTATTTACAAATGGTCAGAGCTATAAAAGCCTCAAATAAGATCACACTTTCATCAATTTACTTACTTTTATAGCACAAAAACATATGACATCAACTGTGGAGTCAGATGATCAGCTGATCCTTAGTCCAGTTTTCCGCAACTTTGAAATTTCAGGTTTTTTTTCAAGCCAAAATTTGATATATCTTGAGAGCCACTAAGGGTACATTGCTGAAATTTTTACTATTTATTCTAAACAATGTTAGGCAAATATTTTGGTAGAATTAGGTATCTAAGTTTATAAGGTAATGAAAAATATCTGTTTTTTTTTATAATTCTTTTTTCCGAAGAAAAAAGTATCTGAGATATTATTATGAATCTACCTAAATATTAAGTTTAGACAACAATCATTAAAAACCAGCAAATTTAACAAAATCCATACAGAACTCTCTTCAGAATCTTGATTTTTTAAACCATTACAAATTGACCGAAAACGTCTATTTTATTTTTTCCCACCTATAATTTATATTTAGAAGTAAACCAATATTTTTATATTTTGTTACATTATACCCTACTAGAAAAAAAATTGTTTCACCACTTTCCTCGTTAAATAAAAAAATCACCCTTTTCAGTGGCAAATCCCCTTAAGCTAAGAGTATGCTTTAAGAAATTCATACTATTTGCATTGTTTTGATATTGACATTGACACTTCAATCCTCGTCTTCAATGAGGATCGATTCTGGACAAAGATGCCATTTTACACTAGACTGTCAGTTAATGATTGAATTTTACTACTCGCCCTTATATGGTAACAAGAAACAAGATCGAAGTTTGGTCCGCCACCTTGCGCAAAAATGACAAATTGCCGATTGCGAAGAAAACATGCATAAATAACTTGAATAGGAAAACTGTAGCTCTGCCGCTTCTCATGTTTTAAAATTAGCTAAACTAATTAAAAACTGAAATAATTTTAACTTAGGCCTACATATATCCTTTAAGTCGTCGTGTTAAATATATTTTCACCCATAAAATTTAAGTTTAGTTCAATTAAACATTTGATCAAACCCTTAGTGTGAATATGTCAATGTTCTAAAGCCTCAAACGCTTGATTCAATGTTTTATGTTAAGGTTTAGTTGATCCAATCCGGCGTTTTAAATTTTGATTCCAAGACAAATAAATTGTATTTATTCGTATTACATGGTTTTTAAAGTAGCAGTTTGGTTCTCGCTAGAAAGTAGTGTCCTCGCCGCTACATTTATATACACAGCGCTCACTTCACCCCGCCTGGAGGACCGATGCCACTAGGTGTCAAGAGTTGGAGGGTGCCGTATACACTCAGCATTCCTCTACGGGTTCCGTAGTGCGGTGCTGAAATGTATACGGATCTATAGGTTCTGTACTCTCAAGGGGTAGTTTACCTATAGATCAATTACACCTCAGTGGCGGAGTTTGTTCTCCTTTTGTGGAGAATAATTTAAATAACCTTTGAGAGAACTACACATGCCATTCCCATGTTTAAGTCGTGGCCAGTTCATTTATCAAGATGTTGTAGTTTAATTGAACCAGCAGGTTGATTTAATATAAATTACTTATTTCTGTCTAGTATGCTGACGTTTTATGGTTAAAACTTCATCATAGTCAACATGATGAGACAACTTATTGTAAGGTTTCAAGTCACTTAAAATGCCGTTATCTCAGTAACGAAAAATGAAAGAATTGGATTTTTTACACGGACGCACTCTGTGGCTGGTTGATTTAACTCTGCACTTTTTGATTTTAAAAATTGGCAACAGTTTGGCTATAAAGCTGGGATTTCTAATTTAGTATCCAAAAGTCAATGATGGCAGGCAAATATGTTTTTTTTACATGAATAAAACATTGAAAGTGTGTTAAATTTTTCTGTTGATAATGTTTTGTTCCGAAGAGAGTAAGCTTTAATTATTTAAGAGCGTTTGTTTCGTGGTTTTATAAATCTAATGTGAATCTCTAGTTTGTTTTTTAGACATTTAATCTTAAATAAATACAGCTTTATATATATATATATATATATATATATATATATATATATATTGTTATGCCTTTGTCCTAAAATAAAATAGAAAACTATTCAATTCGTGATTCTGTTTACTGTATAGTGGAGGCAGGTGATCATGATATTACTATACTACTCGTTAATGCAGTTCTAAAATACCATAGGTCGTTGGGTAGTATATTAAAGAATTGCATCTACTTAATAAATACATATTTTACTAACTTTATGGCACAAATGCAATAAAATACAGTCATTGAATTTTGTTAGCTCTAAGTATACCGTACTATAACTAAATAATGAACTTATTTATCCAAATTATTAATACACAAAAAAGAACTAAGTAAACTCATGAGTTTAATAAAATACTTTCTTTAACAGCTAAATAAAAAACAATAACTAAGCCTACTGTTCGAATAACAATATCCTAAGACTCAATTATTAATCATAAGATTCGTAAGACTAATTAATTGTTAACTGCAACTCATTGTGAGATCGTACGTACTGTAACTATTGTTACAGCATATTTGTATACGTTATTGGCTTCAACGTAAGTTTTAATCACCAATGGTTAATTTTTAACACTGGCTAAAAATCGACAAACCTTTCACTACATAAAATGCTAGCAACGCTTGTGCAAATTATAATTAGTTAAAATAATTGGCAATAATGAGGAGCCACAAAACTCATTGTAAAAAGTTTATCTTTCTTAGCGGTATGATAACCTTTTATTTTACGAATCAACAAATAGTGCTGATAAATACTTTAACCAACTCTCAATGTGAAGAATTCTAATCTTCAAGCAATCAGAAAATCCATTTTCTGAGACAAAAAGATTGTTTAAAACTGTTAAAAAAAAACTTCTGAAATTCTACCAAAATTTTAACATACGTAGCCTTGACACCTTTAAATGTTATTACTGTATTAAATATTGTCTACTTACTATGGTATCAAATTCTTAAACTATTAACCTGTACATGTTTAGAACCTCTACGAACGAATATCAATAAGTAAACACTCAAATCTACTAGAAACACGCAACGCACGATGGATAGTACAAGAATATGATACATTACAGGTAGAATAATATTTAAAAGTTAAGATTGTAACAACTTTGTCAAGAGATCGGGTTTCAAATATTGACACTAAACCTAATGAACTTCTTGGCAGCTCTCCCTTGGCTAAGTATGTACTCCTGTGGTACGTTGGTTGTCTTCACAGGAAGGGAAGACCCTGGGACGGGGCTGGGGGATACTCCCCCGGCTTCCTCTCCGGTGACTTGTCGTCCGGGGACCTAGGAGGACTGACGGGGAGGGGAGGTGGTGGAACGTCGGGAATGTCGGGGTTGCCGGGGCGGTTGTTCTTCACCTGGTCGGTCACCTGGAAGAAACCCATATTTGTCTCATAGCTATCCCAATCTTTACATTTGACTCGTGGCTATAACAATCTTCACACTTGAATCATAGCTTCAACACGAATATAAAGAGGATCATTCTCGTTTACAATTGAGTATAAATCATTTTTGTAAATTACATATTTTTTGCTAAACTACATAGGTAGTTTTCAAGATATTTTATAAACAAAACCTAACCTATTTTCCATGATTAAGATTAGTTTTTTTTATTATTCAAAGAATAGACGCCTGTCATTAAGGGACGACCGTAGACAACAGATGGTTTTTTTTTATAGATCCATACTTCAACATATTTTGATGAGATTTGATGTTCTCCTGAAAATACAAAGCTATCTTCCGTTCACTGGATAAAAACTATTTATAATGAGTGATAGTGTATATTTGCCATACAGTAATACAAATGACTATTCACACACAGACTATACTCGGTATATAGTCATTTGTAAGACATAGAGCTCGCGTTGAACCTGCAGGTTACTGTTATGATCCCAAGCAAAACTGATTGTATACCTGAATGTCATATGCCATTAAGCTATCAAATAATGAAGCTATACAGTATAACAAAACCTGAAGTTCGATGGTAAGATTATGGTTTAAAATTCCCTTACAAATAGCCTGTTACAAAAATACCACTGCGTATTAACAGTATTAGGACAGCAATAGTTTGCTCACCTGAGGTATCGTCTGTTGGGGCTGTAGGCTGAACAACTGAGGGTTCTGGGCAGGAGCCGCAGGTGCCTCAGGGTCCTGGAGAGTGTCGTTGAACCCAGGGAGTCTACTGTACGCCTGAAGACCGTAGGGGTCCGGGGCGTAGACGGTATATGGAGCTCCGTAGGGGTAGGAGTATGGGTAGGGTGCGAGGGGCGCAGGACGCAACACAGGCGCAACAGCAGGGTAGGCCTGGCTGGGTAGGAGCTGCTCATCGCTTGTGATCAGGGCGTTGTAAATGCGCGGGATTCTGCGCAATTTGGCGGGATCTGCCCATGGGAACGCCGTCACCTCCAGGGCTGCCAACACAAGCTGAAACAAACTTGTTGTCAGACAGCGTAGATGTGTTACTGTACTTGTTACTTTAAAGTAAGTCCTGATTCCTGAAGATGTTCTAGTATAGGGTACAGTATGTAGTGTAAAGTTGTACGCTAGATACGCATGCGCATGCGCCCTTCCCATACCTCTGTTGATTTTTCTGTCATTTAACCAATTAATTGGTCTTTGGATCCATCATTCAATCAATCATTCAAATCTTTAATGTTGCAATATCAGTGACATAAACATTATATCTGGAAAAGTTCATGGTGAGTGTAGAATGGAATGAAGTGGATTGTAGGTTACTGAATAATAAAGCGAATGATCAAGGACAGTTGGATACAGTAGAATCATCAAAAGGCTACTGGATTTGATCGTGATCGATTCTGTGACCTACAGATTGATATAGATAACCATTCAACTACCCAATATTGACTACATAGTACGTCTGATGAGTCTACAACAAACGGAAATCTTGGCGTTTATGATGGGCAGCGGGAATGGCTTGTTTTGTCTGTGCTTGTATGCTTAGTCGTTATTTGGATTTATTAGGAGAATATTTTTTCATATTTTGTCCATCTTAAGGTCCCACGATGGGATTGTTTAAGTAATTTCAACTGATTATTTTCTGAATAATGAACAAGAGATGATATTGATCGCTGGAGGATTCGGTCTTCATTTACCGATTGCAGCGTCAAAACAAAATGTGTAAAATTCAAAAATCTTTAAGCGTATGTTCATCTACAAACCAAGCCATTGTCCGATCTTGCACTTATAGAATACCAAAAGATTATTACCTCAAGAATTTAGCCATGTGTCTTTATTTCATCTTACGCCCCCATTAATTGATTCATTCACTGGATTGTATTGGGAAAATATAGTGGGATATGATGGCTGGGAAACGGAAACGATAACGCCTCCAGTTCCGCCAACAGATCATGGACGTACTTCAGAGGAAGTGATGGGAGGAAGGTGGGAAGTAATGGCATCGACAGTAGCATTGATTATAAACACGGACTATAGTAGGTTGTTTATAGTAGTCAATATAAACTGTTAGTCGATACCAGAAACTATTCTATACAAACCAAGTAAAGTATAGAGATGGTCGGGAAATGATCTTTCCCTAAAGGTTTATCAAATGAGTGATTGTCAGGTTGACGATTGATAATTGTCAAAGTCAAATAGCAAAAATAGGTCACCACTCGAATGTTTGCAAGGCTAAAGGAGTTGACTTTCTATTCGAACCCTTCACAAAAGGCTTCTGGGCGTCGCAAACATGTCACAAGTGCAATGTCATAGGAAAGCTCTCTGAATTAAAACATACTGAAATGACCATGACAATAACTTACTCAGTGTAAGCTGACTCTTATATTCGATTGACATGTGGTTATTTGTGTAAAAGGCTTTATTGTATTTATAGGCATGCACTGTGGATATGATACTTCCTAGTGTGTATTAACGGCCGCTCAAGTTCCGCAGTATTATCCTGATAATAAGGCAAATTCGTTAATTGAAAAAATTTGGTTCGGGTTCCACTATAAACTGTAGGTCCCTAAGTTGCCACTGGCTGTAGTCTAAGGAACATGTCGGCCTTAGTCAGTGAGAAGACTACAGGATCGCGCCACTCATCCTACACTCATCTCCATTCATACTTGGCTTAAAATACCTACATTTGTATGGTCGCCTTTTTTATAAAGAAGTACTAAAGTAATATTTAAGAAAGCTGTTACAGATACGCCTTCCTTTGAAAAGATTTATTACAGAATATTACAATATGAGCTGTGGTTAACACCTTACAATAGGGTAACCAGGTGCGGTTCATCTTGATTTTACCACTTGAATTGTTAATTGTTGGATTTTTCATTCAAATACCACCAATCCCCAACGGATAATAACAAACTTCGTGATAATGACGGAGCTTTAGCACCCATCTTAAGCCTTGGGTATATCAATTTTCTAAATATCTTCCAAGTGATGAAGTTTTTCCGTGTTAGACAAATCGAACTCATCCTATATGCTACGATAGTAATTATATATTTTAAAACTTGCAACTCATTTAGTATTTTAGCCCCAGTACTAATGTAAATGGTATTAACTTGTTATGCAATGAGCAATTTATAAGGTATGCGCGCATGCCCAAGATCTGTTTTCGCTCTCTATTCATTAAAATATTCTTAACAGTTTCAGAGATATCGGAAGGCCTTCGTGCGTAAAAAATATGCCTAGTTTTAAGTGTAACGGTATTGAGTGGTGGTTTCAGCTGTTTATGTTATAGTTTTTGACTTGTTATCAGTAGCTTTATGGTTTAAATATTAGAAGTCAGGACGAAATTTAACAGGTGTTTAATAGTTCTTCGTGCAGCTAGTGAGCAAAGTGAGCAATTGCCTCACTCGATAGAAATCCTTACTCACGAGCCGTAGGCGAGTGAGGAATCGTTTCTTGGGTGAGGCGATTGCACTTTGCACTCGATTTGCACATTATATTTTCCCTATAGTTACCATAAAACAAATAAATTGGTGAAGAAACGTGCCTTCACGTTGCAAATCTGGAGTGACCCAAAGTAATTATAGTGAATTGGCCACTTTGCTTTCTCAAATCAGTGAGATAACATGTACATTGTTAGGTACTGTAGGAAAGATATATTTTTCACCACACTATAATGTTTTTGGCTGTATTACATACGTTAATTGGTGGCTGAAAGTTACGTTTTGCTAGCAATGACAGCTGTTATCGTAATTTGGGGACCGAGCAGGTTTTTACAGGCCGGGGCCGCAAAATCAGCTGTCCGCTTACACAAACATGAATGCATTTTAAATACACAATCAAAATCCATAGCATTGCAATAGAATTGTGTTATCGTCACCGTTGCCTAGCAACTATTTATTTTTAGTTTTGCTGATTCCTCAAATTATTTCTTCACATAACCTTAAAGTTGTAGTTGTGTTGACTACCAGTGTGCATTATTATAGTGGTGAATAGTGGTAATGGGGTAAAGTGTGGTGAAGAATAGCGTTCGTACCACGGACCGAAATGGTTTTACAGCTCTCGATCGATTTAAGTTCTCGACTTCGTCTCGAACTTAAAAACTATCTCGAGTCGGCAAAACCTCATTTTCGGCCCTAGGTACGAAATATACTATTTTTTATAATTATTTATCAGTCATCTTACTTATAGTCACAGCTGGTCTTTTTAACAAAGGTACATGATAGGACCCTCACCCCACTCTACACTCATCTTGCTTTCACCTTCAGTTTAAAATGCGTAGACATGTGTTATCTTATAAAACGTAGTTATTAGTGTGTTCTAAGCCTCATATTGAAACCATGCAAACTTAAGAGTTACATCTTGTGCTTGAGATTTATTTAAATTTCCAATGTCCTACAAGTTTATTCGCAACCTTACTAGGATCACCCGAATGAAGTAACATGTCGTCGAGCATGCATATATACACGATACACGATATTTATTTCTAATTTAAGATTAATAAACTTGTTTGGAAGCGTGATCATGGAACGTATTGCAAGGAAGTCTCGGAATCAACAGACAGGTTGTCCTTGCATCAATGAATACATACACAGAATAGAGAACTGGCCTTCGATGTCAGCGACTGAGTCTTTAATCTTCCGCTTTGTCATAATTTACTCGTTACTGCACATCACGTTATCAATAATTAACTTACCTTTTAACGGTAAATGACAACAAATCCTATAATCAATTAGAAACTGATGGTGATATTTCAATGATAATCTGCTTTACTATGATTCAGGCTGGTTACTATTTCAATGTTTTAAAATAAAAGAGTATTGTTTACACTAGTTATAATTTTTTCGTGGATATATTGGTTAATTGTGATATTGCAAGGAGTACGTACAAGCATTGACTATATATACCTACAGGTATATATAGTCAATGGTACAAGTTCTTGATGCTTCATTGGTTTCGTTACCAGCCACAAACGAGTTTAACAATAACAACAGCAACAAGCAAAAACAACAATATCATATGTTGAAAAACTATTTAGTAGAGGCACGGTTACCTACAATTCATTCTATAATGATTAACCCGTCTACGACTGTACGTACAGTAGTTTAGTTTGGCATCCTACCTTTTTCTTTATGGTAACGCAAAACTCACATTGACAATAAATGTTTGAATTTCAATAGTTTTAGTAAGTGTATTCTACTACGCAATATTCTTTTTGAAGAACTAAATGTTTGAATAGTATTCTCTTTTGTGTTCTCGTCTCCTTGAGAAACATAGCTAATAGCTTCGTATACTTTAATATAATAAAAGTGATTTTTTAGAACATTATATAAAGTTCTTTCACGATTAGTAATTAGCTATCACAAAATATAATGATAATGTATTTTTATTTCAAATGGTAAAATATTAAACGGTATTATTTCTTTAGCGGGATGAAGGTTCTTCAATTCGACTAAGCTAGGACTGGTTATCATAACAGCTTCAATGGTCCCATATAGTTGTGTATTCTTTTAATTTTAAGTTTTGAATATTAGTTGGTAATTTATTAAATAATTTTCTTCCATTGTAATAAAGATGTTTTTCATAAAACTTTGTTTAGTGGAAAGAAGAAGAAAATATTTGTAATTTTCTCCAATCATAATTCTTCTTACATAATTCATAATTTATCCACAATTTCTCAAAATTGTTCTTTAAAAATAGTAATGTTCCGTAAATATTGAGTAAAAGGACATAAACTGTTAATGTTTTAATAATTTTTTTACAGGATTGGCGTGGTTTCAATTTAAAAATAATTCTTAATGCAGACTTTTGTAATTTATTGTTTAGTTTTTCATAAAGTTGAGCCCCATATAGGTATTGCATATCCAATGTTGGAAATAATTAACGAATGATATACAGTAAGTAATGCGTCTTCACTACAGAACATAGACAATCTTCTTAGTATAAAAATAATTTGGGAAAGTTTTTTACATAAGTGCTCAATATGTGAGTTGAAATTTAAATTTTGGTCTATAGGATAATAAGTCCTAATCCTAATAAGTCCTAGGAATTTGATTGTTTCTACTTATTCTATATGTTGATCATCAATTAAAATATTTAAGTTGAAATCTTTTTTGATTTTATCGCTGATTGAAAATTCCATAAATTTTGTTTTATTTACATTAATTCCTAAATGATTTTCCATGAAGCATTGTGCTAGTTCATTTGCTTCTTCATAACATTTAATTTCCAATTCTTCTCCTTATTGGCTGGATGCCAATAAAATCTTGTCATCAGCAAATAATATCACTTCAGATAATTTTCTTGAATATGTCACATCATTTATATATATTATAAATAAAATTGGACCTAGTACAGAACCTTGTGGGACACCTGATTTTGTTTCAAATTTTTCTGAACTATAATATTTTTCATAATTGTTATTATTAATAAATGGAATTGGGACGGACGCAATAGTACAACAGCTACAACTTTATTGTGTAAAATCTAACAATACTCACTGTAATAGCGATGGCCCGCAAGAGCATGGTGGAGTGGCGAAGGTAACACAGACACTGAGCACAGTACAGAACACCTGTAGTGAAGGAAGGGTCAGGGGCGAGTGTAGTAACAGATTACTCAATCTACTCACACTCAGCTACTCTCTCAAGTATATACAGGGTGTGTAAGAGATCGGTTCAAGTTCATACTTAGGCTACACTGTTACTTTCAAAGCACGGTGTTCTACCTGTGTGTGTGGTATTGTGTGGTATTGGCCATATCGTAAAGTTTAGTTTGTTCTGCTAAATAGATATTGAGATTGGGACCTACATTTTTGTTGACTAGCCTCGACATAGCCTTTTATGATTTTCTCTTATTGGGTAAAATTCCATCGTCCACCGGACAAAAACATCTCAGATTTTAAACTGAGAGAGACAATAATCAAAAAAATTGAAGCCTTTCTACAAAGACTTACTAAATGCCCGATTCTATTTCAGTTACACGTGAAATTCAGCCGGTATTTTTCCAGGATTCGTGAGTAAAACTAAACTTTAGAACGTGACCAATACAATTATGTAACACTCAAGCCAGAGAGCATACTTTAGATCAAGTTCTAGAAAAGTATCGAATGTTGAACTGTAACGCAATGTCAACACCATTTGACAAATCGGATGTCAACAAAAATGCAAAACTTCTATCGGCAGAAGTAACGTACTGTGGAGCTGTGGGCAGTTTGCTATATGGTTCTACACTACACGAAGTGGAGCAATGAAATGAAGATTCTGAAATGTTACACCAATGCAGACTTCGCAGGTGATGTAAACAGCAGTCACGTTCAGTGTGTCTGTGTGTTTTACGTTAGCCGTTAGACCAGTTAGACGATTTTCTAATAAACAAAATTGTATTTTACCATCCACTACTGAAGCGAAATACGTTGCTGCTAGTGAAGCTGCTAAGCAAGTAATATAGCTTAAAGGCTTGTTGGATGAAATCAGCAGTTCATCGATCGAAGCAACTATGTACATTGACAATGCTGCCAATGCTGGTGCAGTACAATTGGCACACAATCCTTCAACGCAGGGAAGAACGAAGCACATCAGTGTTCGGTTCCACTTTGTTAGAGAGCACTTCAACAAAGGATGCTACAAAATTGAACATCACCTGGAAGACTTCAGTTGGCAGACTTCTTGACGAAGAGTTTACCTTCGACTGTAAGAACTTTTTGAACCTCTCAGGTTGAGGGCAAATTTAAAAATAACATGAAACCAGTGAGTTGGTATCAATGTTCCATAAAAACATGTGTGTTTATTATTGAATAATAACAAACTATTCTGATTCTACTAATAACATAAGTAACTTTCAATTATAGGCCTACTTTAGGGCTATGCCTCATAGATCTATAAAGCATTTTTTTAGTTTAATCATTGGATTTAACATATGTACCAACATAATCAGGGTGACATTTAATTGCGAAGCGTTTTTTTTTGGCTTGAAACTGTCAGATACTGTATTTGCAAAGGTTTATATAATAGTTTTGCCAGCATGTCTGAAAATATGCAAACCAACTGCTGTTGTTAATATAAGAAGGTATCAACTGACTACGATAAGATGGTGCGTAGAACGGGCACACAGCTAGTAACAAATTATTCTGATTCTACTAACAACATGAGCTTTGTTAAAGTAATAAAGTAGTTTCTTTGATCAATTTTGTTATTTCATATCTATTCGCTAAAACCTAACTGTGAAAACACCATTAAATTTTTTGCAGGCTTATTATTTATCTAACGGTATTGCCGCTTTTGGAATCATATAGTCCAAGTCCCAGACAAATGAAATAATTAATTTTTTTTTTTGCTAAATTAAAAATGCAGTTTTTGTATTAACTATGTACCAGACATTAAATCTTTAGGTAAAGCTTTTTTATGTTATATTTAAAAAATACGTTCCACTGTTTGATAATGGATTCACGGATTTGGTATTATAACAGGGCTTTACATAAAAAGGTTTCATTACCTCAAATCAATTTAATAAAACCTCATACAATATTATGTCTATATATAATTTCGAAAAAATTTCGTTGAAAAGTGAGTTTTTAACCTTATCCAAATACCTCAGTAAAACAACAGGACTCCAAGAAATAATTTTGATATTCGCCCTCTTCCATTGTAAAAGCTGTGATGATTATGTTGAACAAATAAGTTGTAGTTTCCCTTTAAGTTTTATGTAGTATAAATCTTGCTTGGAATTGTAATAGCTTATTAAGAGATCGCACATGATTGCGAATGTCCGTCATGGAGGATTTAGTTTTTCCAGTTTCCGTCAATGCCTCAAGATCTTTTTTTATTTTGCTGAAATGTGTTTCAGCCGTTCTTCCAAGTGCAGCATGATGCTTGTGTATGTAGCTTATAGCTCCGTCAGCTTCACCCAAAAGGTAACTGTGAAATAGAATTAATCAATTCAAATATTATATATTAGTTTCTATCTAACTAATTAAATACTATGTTGTGATGAAAAATATATTATTTGCAATGCCGAATATAAAATTTACATGGACATGGATAAATCGTGTTGAACGATCACAGACCCATTTTTACTTTCAGTGAGAATATTTACACAGATAGCGTGGTGGTCGTATCGATCGAAATTATTTATCGAATTGGTTTATTAGGTAAGGTTTTAACCCACGTGTATACTATAAAATAATTTCAATAAACCATTTTTTCGAAGTCTAATAACATTCAAAGGGTCTCAAAGAGTTCAAGAAAATAACGTTGCAAATACTTGCTTTGGACAGTTCAGTAACTCTCAATCAATGTGTGTTGTTTAAAATACAATTTAAAAATTAACAGCTTTTTCATTAAAAGTATTATCCACATGGCCTAAATGTAAACAAATCTGTGGAGGGATCTTTTAAATGCTTCTATGGCAGAGCCCTAAGGGAATTTACTTCGTTTTTTTTATAACTCATCTACAGACCAAGACCTTTCTTTGGTCACCTCTACCAAGTTTCTACGCCCAGTGTTCTTAAATTAGTGGAGAGAAATTTCTAATTAAATATTTAGATTCTCCCACGAGCTGTTGGCCCGTCCTACGTACGGGAATCGAGTAGTCCATTAAAACTGTATACAGGGTGTTTTTTTTTTTAAACTTGCATCCTTTTTTATGTAAAAACCGCAATAGATATAAATATGCAGTTGGCGGGAATCATCTGTTGACGTAGGGGGCACAATTTCTTTTTAATTCAACGTTACATTCACATTCCCCCCCTTTCCCCCCTGCCACCAACTTATTTTTTTTTAAATAGTAAGGTACCCCTTGTGACATATTAAATGAAAGAGCATGAAAAAAGAAAATGTTTGATGACAAAAATTTAAATTGGTTCATAAATTTGTGAGATATCCCCCCCCCCTCCAGCCCCCGGAACTTTATTTTTTCAAGGTACCCCTTGTGGCATATCAAATAAAAGAGCATGAAAATGTTTGGTGAAAAAAATTTAAAATCGGCTCATGAATTTGTGGGATAATCCCCCCCCTTTTCCCTACCCATAACTTTTTTTTAATAGCAAGGTACCCCCTCTTGTGACATATCAAATGAAAAATAAATTTCACCAAACATTTTCTTTTTCATGCTCTTTCATTTGATATGTCACAAGGGGTACTTTGCTATTAAAAAAAAATTAAGTTCCGAGGAGAGGGGGGAAGATATCTCACAAATTTATGAACCGATTTTCAATTTTTTTCATTAAACATTTTCTTTTTTCATGATCTTTCATTTGATATGTCACAAGGGGTGCCTTGCTATTAAACAAAATTAAGTTAGGGGCAAGGAGGGAAAGGGGGGAATGTAAATGTAACGTTGAATTCAAAACAATTGGGCCCCCTACGTCAATAGATGATTCCGCAAACTGCATATTTCTATCCATTGCGGTTTTTACATAAATAAAGATGCAAGTTTTAAAAAAAACATCCTGTATAGTGTGTCTATAATTTAAGCATAGTTTAAAGCAGTTCAAAATTTATAGTAAAGGAATAGCTGCCAAGATTAATTATAACATGTGATCATTATTATTTTACCAACCTTTCCTCAAAAAGTCGAGTAGTAAAATTATTTTCATAAGCTTTCTTTTGAAGATTCGTGAGCTTCGTTTATTATACCGTACAGCAATGGTTATATAATCTTACTTATATCCTATAATCAATGACAAAATCACAAAGATAAACTAACCTCATAGTTCTATAGAATATTTTTTATTCAACCAGCTGTTAGTTAAAACAAATTATATTGCAGTAAAACAAACTAAATATTTTAAAAAGACTGCTCAAAAAATAAATTAATATATCTAGTATTTTACTATGTATATTTAAATAATCTCTCATCCTCTTACCGAATAAATGATCATTGGTAGGTTCATAGGTCAAGCACCTAAAGCACACAGCTGAATCACGAATCAACAATAATTATAATCGTTTTAGTACTTATTTGCAATCAATAACTGCTACGTAACTCAAATTTTATTTAAGTTATTTGACATGTCTTGGTTTTAAATACTTCAAAGGCTTTCACTTGAGATATTTATATTTTTAATCAGTTAAGTTAAAGGTACTGAATCGCTCAATCAGAAAACATAAATTTAATTATATCTCGGATATGGAATTTAGTTTTAGATATATTTACTTAATTCTAATTATGTTATTCTAATTGTTTTGACCTAAGAACCTACAGTGAAATACCAGCTTCCATTTGAATTATCGATTATTAAGATTTGACGTACCTACAGCACACTGCTATATCACGAACAACCCAAATTGTTTTAAAAATGGAGTTATTTATCATCGATTTATAGTCAAACGGTCTTGCTTGCAACCTCAACAGCAACTGTCATTTGACGGGTTTCACCTAGTAAATCTTTAAAAAGTCTAACTTTCATAATTATTTGCAAATCTACACGAATAAGGCTTTCCAATGACCTATTAATAAATAAAATTTGCTCAGTAGAACTGTAGATTTAATTGTTCAAAGTTTAACAACAAAATCTTTAGTTCAGTATTTTCTCACCATTATAAATTTGGAGGTTGCTTAACTTTTTTGCAAATAACTTTGAAATGGTGAGGAAATTGACCAAAGTGAAAGGTGATATTCTGATAGAGAATACAATTTCCTACAAATTACAATCATGTATTTCTGGAAAATACTCAATAAAGACAGCCTAAAGTTGGCTACAAATATAAACTTGGAAAAGAAGGAGTTTTAAATGTAATATTGTTTATTTTTATTGTTTTACCTCAAATATGTAATGAAATCAAACTTTCATAATTATTTGCAAATCTACACAAATTAGGCTTTCCAACGACCCATTAACTAACAAAATCGGCCCGGTAGAAGTCTAGATTTAGTTGTACAAAGTTTAACAAAAAATTTATCTAATTCAGTATTTTCTCACCACCATAAATTTGGAGATCACTTAGATTATTGCCAATAACTCTTAAATGGAGGGGAAATCGACCAAAGTGGATGTGATATTCTGAAAGATAATAAAATTTACTACAAATAACTACTATGCATTTCTTGAGATTGCTTAATAAAGGCAGCCAAAAGCTGGCTACAAACAGAAACTTGAAAAAGCAGTTTTTAATGTATTTTTGTTATGTTTACTTTTTTACCACAAAGATATAATATAATCACACTTTCATAATTATTTGCAAATCTACACGAATAAGGCTTTCCAATGACCCATTAATTAACAAAATCGGTCAGTAGAAGTCTAGATTTAGTTGTTCAAAGTTTAACAAAAATATCCCTAACTCAGTATTTTCTCATTACTATAAATTCGAAGGTTGCTTAGCTTTTTTGCAAATAACTTTGAAATGGTGAGAAAATCGACCAAAGTGAAAGGTGATATTCTGATAGAGAATAAAATTTCCTACAAATTACAATCATGTATTTCTGGAAAATACTCAATAAAGACAGCCTAAAGTTGGCTACAAATATAAACTTAGAAAAAAAGGAGTTTTAAATGTAATATTGTTTATTTTTATTGTTTTACCTCAAATATGTAATGAAATCAAACTTTCATAATTATTTGCAAATCTACACAAATTAGGCTTTCCAACGACCCATTAACTAACAAAATCGGCCCGGTAGAAGTCTAGATTTAGTTGTACAAAGTTTAACAAAAAATTTATCTAATTCAGTATTTTCTCACCACCATAAATTTGGAGATCACTTAGATTATTGCCAATAACTCTTAAATGGAGGGGAAATCGACCAAAGTGGATGTGATATTCTGAAAGATAATAAAATTTAATACAAATAACTACTATGCATTTCTTGAGAATGCTTAATAAAGGCAGCCAAAAGCTGGCTACAAACAGAAACTTGAAAAAGCAGTTTTTAATGTATTTTTGTTATGTTTACTTTTTTACCACAAAGATATAATATAATCACACTTTCATAATTATTTGCAAATCTACATGAGTTGGGCTTTCCAATGACCCATTAATTAACAAAATCGGTTCAGTAGAAGTCTAGATTTAGTTGTTCAAAGTTTAACAAAAATATCCCTAACTCAGTATTTTCTCATTACTATAAATTCGAAGGTTGCTTAGCTTTTTTGCAAATAACTTTTAAATGGTGAGGAAAATGACTAAAGTGGAAGGTAATATTCTGAAAGAGAATAAAATTTCCTACAAATTGATACCATATACTTCTTGGAAACACTAAAAAATGGCAGCCAAAAGTCTCACCCAAATAAAAAAGTGTGAAAAACACCGGTTTCAATGTATTTCTTATGGAAAACATGTTTTTTTTCACCATAAATCATAACAAAAACAAACTTGCATAATTATTTGCAAATCTACACGCATTAAGCTTTCCAACGACCCATTAATTAATAAAATCGGTCCAGTAGAACTCTAGATTTAGTTGTACAAAGATTTTTATAACTGAATTATATATAGAATAGATGATGATGATGAAGATGATGATTTTTGATAGTGTGTGACTAAGGAGTTTTATTTAACGCCGTTCAGCTTCAAAAGACTTCAATTTCCAGTGCGTTTGGCTCATGCAATGATGGTAAATAAAGCCCAAGGGCAGTCACTGCGTGTTGCAGGGTTAAACCACAGAAAACATATTAAGTATGTTTTCTGTGGTTAGTATGTTTTCTGTGGTTAAACTTATAAAATCCATGTTTTTCGCATGACCAACTTTACGTCAGTTGTTCGAGAGTGGGGTCGCCAGCAAACTTACATAAATATACACACCAAACAAGAAGACGAAAAATGTTGTTTATCCACTTGCATTGTGCTGATTAAAAAAAGTAGCTATCCTAATGTTCAACACGTGTTTTATTACTTCGTACAATTTGGTTAAACATTTATTGGTTCTAAATAAATAAAAAATCAATAGTTAAATGCTGAGAAAATTATTTAGTAGTAAAAGACTTAAAAACGTCTGGCGAGTTCAGCTAGTATTATATCTCGCATTTTCTTTTAATAAATGTCTGATTACACAATAATTGTAAATTCGCATAGTTTTCAGATTTGTTTTGTGAATAATAAAATTATCGACCCTGCCAGGATTCGAACCTGGAATCTTCTGATCCGTAGTCAGACGCGTTATCCGTTGCGCCACAGGGCCTTGTTCTACAAGTAGAAAGCCAAAAAGCTGTATCGGCGGTTGGCAATGTAAAAAGATAAGCTGAAATGGTATCAGAGGCAAAGTGACTCGTTTCGACCCAAACTCAAGTTCAATGTTTGAAGCAAAGCCGAGATTGGGTGGATGAGTAAGGGGTGCCAACACACATTTAGGCCTATGTGATGAACCATATTTCGTCTTAGTACCGTTCTTTAAGCGACCAAATTCGCAAAACATAAATCTTGTGATTACTTATATATCTATATATTAATATGCAAGCATGTTTCTTTAAAACCTTTTTTCTCAGCTCGTGTGCATCGCAGGAAAAATCTTCGCATACTGTTAGAAAGATATTTTTCCGTAGGTGTGCAGAATCCCTTTAAAAATTAAAATAGGCGTCGAAATAAGCACTAAACAGAAATAAAAGGAAATTGAAATTTGAAAAAAATTAACATGGGCTTTATGGGTTTCCATGCTGATGACGAAATAACAACGAAATATAAACAGAAAATCAAAACAAATTGAAGAAACTCCAATCACATGTTTTATTTACAGTGTGGGGTGAAAATAGAGAAGTCTGTACATTACAAATTTTTGGTCGAGTTTCGACCACTGGACGACCTCTAGTAATTATTAATCAGTATCATAAATAGCCTAACTATGGATATTAATGCAATATTTCCATTTCCCGTGCTGAAGCTGTAGCCAGCTTCAAAATAAAATAGTAGTTGAATCCGGGCACCGTCAGGGTACGTGTTTCTAATGTATAAACTCACTTTTTATGAAAGCCGAAATAGAAGGACATTTTATTGAAAACCGCTGTATTCTTTTTGCCAATATGGTATACTATACTCTTAAATTGTCAATGTTTGCTTGTACGTATGCTTGCAAAAAGACCGCGATAACGGCTTCGACATTTTTCAATTGTTGTCAAAAATATTTCTGGCCTGAAATGTGTTTCATTCAGTTAAAACTGCCAACAAAAATCTAATTACGTACAAGAAATGAAATTGTAAGTCAAACATTTTTCATTGAGTCTAATAGGGTACTACTTTGGCAACGAAATAACAACGAAAATCGTAAGAATCAACAAAAGAAAATAAATAAATACCTATAATAGCTGATTACAAACCTCCAAAGAGGTTTTTAATTTATCTCAGGAGGACAGTAAGATGCCACAACTGGAGTTAGTGCGAAATTAGTAAACCGGCGGCACTGTTGATTTTATTGCATCGGAAAGCCAAACGAGCAACGCTCGTTCCTCCTGGTACTTACTAGGTATATAAAACAAACATTTTTATCCAAATGCTGAATTTGTGACACAAAATCTGAATGTTTACAGCTGTTATGTTAAGCAAATTATTTTATGCCAAAAGCTAGTTTAGAATCTTAGCGTCGGCTGCTAGACTTTTTAAAAATTAAAACCTTATTTCTAAAAAACTGGGACCCTATAAACTTAAATTATGGCTTCGACATTCCCTAGTTCTCACAATTATCTTTCTTTCAACACAAAAATCATGAAAATCCGTCGACTGGTTGATTCAGAATCGTGAAATAAAAAAACACTGTTTCGTTTTAATTATATACAAAGTGTATATAATATACACTATACAGTAGACCCTCTCTAATCCGGCACTGCACCACTCCGGCACTCCAGTAATCCGGCGACTTTTGACGGGAGGTCTTCCCCGATCGCGGCAAAATTCTGATTATCTCCCGCGGCAGTGTAGACATCATAATTCTCTCACGTGGTCATGAAAACGTCATCGTCGTCTTGCGCGATCGCGGCAAATTCATGAACATCGCCAGCAGACGTATAGACGTTATCATCGCCTCCCGCGGTCACGGAAACGTCATCGTCGTCAAGCACGATCGCGGCAAAATCACGAACATCGCCAGCGGACGTATAGACGTTATCATCGCCTCCCGCGGTCACGGAAACGTCATCGTCGTCAAGCACGATCGCGGCAAAATCACGAACATCGCCAGCGGAGGTATAGACGTTATCATCGCCTCCCGCGGTCACGGAAACGTCATCGTCGTCAAGCACGATCGCGGCAAAATCAAGAAAATCTCCCGCGGACGTATAGACGTTATCATCGCCTCCCGCGGTCACGGAAACATCATCGTCGTCAAGCACGATCGCGGCAAAATTATGAACATCTCCCGCGGTCATGTAGACATAATTGTTGCCTTCCACGGCCGCAGCAAAAATTTTATCATCTCCCGCGGCCGTGTAAACATCATTGTCTACTCCCGCGGTCACGGAAACGTCATCGTCGTTTTGCGCGATCGCGGCAAAATCATTAACATCTCCCGCGGTCATGTAGACATTAATCGTTGTCTTCCGCGGTCGCTGCAAAGATTTTATCATGTCCCGCGGCCGTGTAAACATCATTGTCTACTCCCGCGGTCCCGGAAATGTTATCGTCAACTTGCGCGATCGCAGCAAAATCATGAACATCTCCCGCGGTCACGAAAACGTCGTCGTCGTCATGCGCGATGGCGGCAATTTTACGATTATCTCCCGCGGACGTGTAGACGTTATCATTGCCTCCCGCGAATACGTAATTGTCATGCCCGATCGCGGCAATAGCGGTTTCCGATCACGCGAACTTCGGAGACGTGTTTTAATTGCATTTAAGTGTTTTTAATGATAACATTCCAGTAATCCGGCATTTTCACTAATCCGGCAGTATGGCGGTCCTATATCTGCCGGATTACTGAGAGTCTACTGTACAAGTTTAAGTGTAGTTAAAAGCAGCCAGTTTATATTAAATAACAATTCAGTTGAATGCAGACACCAAAACAATCTAGACAAACGAGTAAAACCCAAGTTATCGCTTGGTTTAGTATTAACACGTCAAATTATCTCATTATAGATGAGGTATATAGTTAATATACGGAGGTTAATATATGAGGTAGTTAATATACACTCTTTTGGGCGTATATTAACCATTGATTTAGTGTACAAAGGTCGATAATTCAAATATAAATTAAGAGGGTGGAATGAAGTGAGGTGTATTGTGTATCTTTGTTACTGACTAAAAACTAATATTTTCGCCACGTCCATTTATTAAAACCCCCGTGATCAAAGATAGGTGTTTTAAATCTACTGGCTTTTCTCAGGATCGAACTAGTAATCTTGTGATTTCGAGGCTTGCACTACAACCACTCACTTACCAAAATTAAGAAAATATATAAAACATGTACAACTGGCTATACATAGGATTTTCCCTTCAGCAACCTAAGTCATTGACATAGCTATTAACCTAAAATCTTCCTTCACCCAAGTTCGGTCCCCATTACTTACAGTCTTATGTGTTCTCCCAAGCCTTCAGTCACGGATATGTCATGTTCGACTATAGCTTCCAATAGTTTTACTCCAGCATTGAGTCTCTTAGCACCTGCCGACTCTTTTTCGTCTGGGCCAACTTTGCGATCCAGCTCAACCATGAACTCCTTAAAGGGTATGTCTATTTTCTTTTGCTCATCCTCATTCAAACTGTCATTTTTCTCTTGGAACGGTGTTGTGACGTCAGCAGGTAAGCTGCTAGATGATTCTTGGCTCACGGTGTTCTCATCTTGGGTTCCAGCAGCTAACCTCAGTAGTAGGAGTGCTGCTAGCTGAAAAAATACATATTGGTTTTCTAGTGGGAGGGAGTTCTTAAACAACAAAATTGTTTTTAAATGGATTCAACTTGGACAACAATATCATACTAATATCATAAATAATGTTAAAGTTTGTGTGTTTGTTCGTTTGTTTTAAGTTCAATGACGCATTAACTACTGGTCGGATTGGGTTGACATTTGGCATCGTGGTAGCTCACATTCCCAATAAACATATAGACATTTATTTATCTTAAAAATTCTTTCGGCCTCTACCCCAGTGAGAATTTCCCATGTTAACCTTATGAGTATTCATATTTAAAAGGAATTAAAGAATTTTGCCAGTGGTTGCAACTACACAAGTTGGTTCTATGATTTTCAATAGCATTAAAAGGCGATAAGGTTTACCAACAGGGTGCAGAACAAAAAGCTGTGAGATTTTTTTTTCTATTGTTGATGTGCAGTGGTAGAACATTATGGCTATGGTAGATGTGCTATACTATATTATACCGTAAATTACTGTATATAAACCAAATTTTCTTAAAACATGTCCTCTGCCATTGCGAACGCAAAGCATGTATATAACTGCAATACGCATTTTATACTTATAGACCTACCCCGTACAAAGGACGGGTATTCTGCTAGTTCTGGGTTCCAAATATCATCGACTCCATACTGAGAAAATTCAGAAGCTTACTAATCTTCCAGCTGTCCCTGGTCACTGGGCATTTAATAAATGGGCCTGGCTAAGGAACTGTCAGATCTCAGTCGTAAAGAAAGCTAATGTATCATTATCATTAATTCAAGACTAGCACATTATTATAACCTATATAATAAATCTATGTAATCACCCATGTAATAGTATCCCATTCAAATACACTCCAACTTAAATTAAACTCCAAATTAAACTCAGTTTTGACAAATTCTCAATCAAATGAATAAGTTTCATTTGTGATAAACACGCATTAAGTGTTTTACTGACACACAGTGAATAACTTACCACACAACGCTGCATATTGTATAGAGTCAGAACCACCACATGACAACTCACATTTGGTGAAAATACAGACTACCTACATAAGTGATTACGTAGTACGTAATTTACCTCGTTGATAATTAAACACAGCCTGCTTAACACTGCTCACGTTATTGCATGAAACGTAATGTACAGTGAAATAGTAATGTATAGTGTATAGTACACGTGTATAGTACAGTGTGTATAATACACGTGAAAAACTGAATTCTACTGAGTTCAAAATTCGTTTCCAAGGCTAAACCATAGACAAATAGAATAAATAAATAGCGGTGGGCGCCGGAACCTTCCTTTGACAGTCTATATTTATTCTATTTGTCTTAATAATGTGATACCTTTTAACTTTTCAAAGATTATGTTTGTTTGTTTGTTTGAGAATAGTATGCAAGATGATTGCATAATGGTGATGCTAGTAATGATATTCATATCTAAATTATTTGGTCAAATATTATGTGTCCTGACAACGTGTCTTTTGTGTTTTATAGACATACTAAGCAGAGTACCCGTCCTTCGTACGGGGTTAGCATAAAAGAATAAAATGCTTATTTCAGTTATACTCAAGCTTTGCGTTTGCAATGAAGGAGGACACAGTTTGATAAAATCTGGTTCTTTAAATTTACAGTATACTATAGTATTACACATCTACCATAACCATAATGTTCTACCACTTCACTTAAACAATATATAAAAATAAATGATCAAAAATTCGCAAAATTTCACAAATTATTCATGAAATTAAAAACATAAACATAACTGTAAACGCACTGTACTTTGACATTCTCATTGTGTATCACAGTTTTTTGTTGCTGCTTCGTTCAAATTAATTGTGGTTGTCATAAATGAAAAAATAATAATAGTGTCGCACCCTGTTGGTTAAATCTCGTAACTGTTTAATGCTTTTGCATATCATAGAACCAAACTTTTAGTTGAACAGCTGACTAAATTATTTAATTCACTTCAAATATGAATACTTATAAGGTTAACATGGGGAACTACAAAGCCACTGGGGCGGAGCCCGAAAGGATGTTTTTTGCTAAGAATATGCCTATATGTTAATCGGGAATGTGAGCTATCATCATGCCAAATTTCGACCCATTTCGTCCAGTAGTTAATGCGTGATTGAACTTCAAACAAACAAACATATAAACTAACAAACACACAAACTTAAACATTAATTTGAATCTGAATTATAAACAAAAATCTCAAATTTACCAAATTTTCAAACCACAATCTTTCCTGTTTTAAAGTAGAGCCAACTATTTTTCGCCTTTCATTGCATTTTAAAACACATCCAATTTGACATGCCAAATATTACAGGTTTTTTTTTAAATTTCATTCGACTTATCCCGATCTGGTAAGTTTAGCTAGTTGATGCTCCTGAGTTTCCTAATATTATTAATATGGTCTATATGTGCGTGTGCGTGATAAGTACACTACAACGTATGTAAACTCAGCACATATAACCTATATAGTAAATCCATGTAATCACCCTTGTAATAGTATTTTTCATAATAAAAAGAAGTCAAAGTGTGACGAGAGTTTTGTTTTGTAATTTTTATTTTACCTTTCATAATTGAAACATGCAAAACTTGTTAGTTTAAAAAGTAATGAAAAGTCGTTATATAAATATTTGTCCCACAGTCAAGACCGACAAAGTGGGCTTCCTTGCACTGATTATACTACAGAAAACTTCTAATTGCTGCATTTACTTACTTTTGCCGCACTCCAGAATTCCAACCAAACAACCAACAACTCAAAACAGCGTGCTTTTATTAGACATGTCATTCGTGTATGCTTGGAAATAGGTTGGCAACACTTGATACTACAACTACGATCAGCTGTTGCAGTGTTTCCCATTTCGTTCAACTATTTTATTCAACCCAACCTAAAAAAGTATTGTATAGTGTTTGAAAGACTAATTATTTATCCTATTTGTTTATTGATTAAACGCGAAAATTAAATTCACTAACGCCTTCACGTTCTGCTCTGCTAACGAGTCAAACGGCGAAGCAAATATTTTGTGTCCAAGACACCACAGGCTTAGAACTAATAATTTTATCCCATTACATTATTCAGCTAATATTCTATACCACTATGACTATAATTTTTAGGCCAGAGCCATTTTAATGCGCTTGGATTGTGACATTTATTAATTCGGCTTATATTTTCTCTTATACAACGGATTATTCATCTGCAGAAGAAGTTCATTGTGCTCTTATCGTGTCTAATAATATTCAAACACAGAAACCTTGCCTAAAGAGTACCTATTTCTTGACAGATGTTTTGCAGTGGCATATTACGGACCGTGGCTCACTTGGTTGGTGAAATTTGTGAAAATAACACTACACTTCGACTGTAAAACATATTTCACAAAGAGTAATTACCATTTAAGCAGTTACTGTCATGACAGAAAGGTCGTGTTCCTTTTGAACTAGATATCCTCATCCTTTCTAATATACGTTGATTAACAACAATGCATGTAAACGTAAAAATTTACAGTATTTGCTTTTAGGAAATGCAGCTGCAGCATTGCTTTGTCATTTGCTTTATTTTTGCCAATGAAGCCGCATGACCATATGAACGAGGTCCCTCATTTTCAAGAATAAAGCCAGCTCCACTACAAGTATATTTCACTACACCTAACATTCCGGAGATATATTATATTGAACACTTTATGTAATTGATAATGCTGAGACAACTGACATCCGAATGGAATCAAAGTTATGCTAAAAAAATATTATTGCTAAATTCTGAGGTTTACTTATTGGCACAGAAGTACGGTATGATGACCGACGTGACGAAGGAAAAATAAAACTTACACAGCTTTAGGGTGGGCCTCTCTTTGAAGTAAGAACGTCCCTTCTCAACAAACAGATATAAAAAAAGAGACTTAATCTGCATAACACTGATGTAATCGCAGAAGTGTGTACGAAAAAATATCCACCAATACAATTTTAATACTATTCTTCCAAATGCATTCTTTATATTATATTCATAAAAAAGAAGATAAACCAGTTAACATAGGAACAATAACTTCTTTGACGGACGGTATAAGAAATATGTTATTCATTGAATGATCGTGGATGAAATATGTGAATTTGCATATTTTGTAACTAATGCAATAGTCATTATTGCTTCTACGCCTATTTATAACTCATAAAATAATGCTAAATGCTCTAATTTTTTTATAATTTAACTCTTTTTGTCGCAGTTAGAAGAATTTTCGTAAGCCTTTAAAGCAACCGTCGATTCGACGGGTTTCACCTGGTAATTAAAATTAGTTAATCATGGCATATTATCACTCTAAAACCACGTCCTTACGAATTAGAATGTTCAAAAGAACAAACCAAATTCTGTTTATTTACCTACTCGAAGCCTTCAAATCAAACATGCACATTAAATGTGCAACTGTACTGTAGAGGTATCAAACAACTGAAGGCACTACTAATTTCTTTAATATAACTTCATACATACAAAATCTTGATACTAACTTATCCTTAGATAAATACTATCTAATTTTACGAGCTGTTGAATTACTAAAATAATAATTGCTCGTATCGAGTAGGCCTATACAGCGATGAAATAATTTCATTTTAAATTTCAAATTTGAGAAATAATCAAATTTATGAATATTCAATTTATGATAGGTACTGTAAAAATCTGCAGTTCCTTACTTCTTTGGTGCGTTTCTTCAACATTTTGTGAATAGCTTCTGTCTGAGCTACGAAATGATTTACACCACAATGAAAAAAATAATTTGAGTGCCTGTGTGGTTGACGAGACAATGATTGTAAATAATGTTAAGTTTATTAGTGATAGTTGCAAAATGTTTTTAAAAGTGAGTTTATTCTAAACACACCTCTATATCCCGTCTATGAGATGGGCCTATTCGTGAGCCCATATTCAAAATACTAATTTGTACTTCTAAAATATTCTTCGTGGTTCTATTTCATTTTTATTTCTTCGTGTTGTAAACTAGGAATATTAAATCATTAAATCTATTAGAGGGGGAGGGTGGTTTTAAATCTGTTAGTTGTAGCCTACTTCATATAAAGGGGTTTATTATATTATTATTATATTTTGATAAAAACAAACAAACTGGCATTTAACTCATCATTTGTATCTCAGTCACAACAGCCGCATATTCGTTTAATATAACGAGTAACAGTAGTGATGTTACAAGAAGATTCACTATTTTATATTGGCTCTGTTAATTAATTATTTTCAAAGCCACCACTTATAAACTGGAGGCAATTGTCCAATAAAAATGTATTCTTAAGTTGATTTGGAACTGAGAGTTGCGTTTCTATTTCACAGTACCTTAATATTCTCGAATGTTTAAGTAATTTTATAAAAGAAGAGTAATTTTATAAAGTAAGTTATCAATGTAACTATTAACAAGCTGCTATACCCGTGCTTTGCAACGGGGAGAAAATGTGATCTAGAGAGCTATTGAAGTAGTGCTCTGATGCGTGTTTTAAAATACAACAACTCTATGATTTAGTTTAAAAATATAAACTGATATAAAGTGTAAACCTACTTACTTTCAAACACCTACTTTTAATGTTAATATAGATCCAAAAGAATATGACAACATACCTTAGTGTAGCAATAGCATCAATTGCTTTATATTGATGCTTCATGAATGACATGTTTGACCATAATTCTTCAATTTTGGTCAAGCCTTTTTACATGTAGCTTACTATATAAATTACAAATTGAAACTTTGAGCAATACTTTACAAAACGTATACAACCTTTCTTTAAAACCAAACATAACCCTCCTAAAACTACATAAAGCATCACAAACAAATTTTTCGAGTAAATAAACAAACACCACTTCATTGTACTGACCAGCTGTTTCATTAACTAAATTGAATTAAATAATTTAATCTTTGGAAGCATGCCAGGCGTAGCCCTTTGGAAATCAGCCTGTGGGGCAGAGCCCTTAGGACATTCATCCATATCAATACTTTTCGGCAAATCTACACACTCCAAGCTTCATTTTGATGTGCCATATGCCTATATTTTTATTTG